CTAAAATGCTGGTATACAAACACAACTTCTATTAACAACTCAATTAAATTATCTCTTATTATTAGTGAAGTTATTACATTAAATATTGACTTAATAATGATATGCAAAACTTGGTTTCAACATATGAATGATACATATGAAAACAGTTTTGTTACAACGTTAAATAATTGTTTTCTTTTTCAAATGGTTTTTAAACCAACTTTTCAAATATACAAGATTAAAGAAAACATTTTAGACTTAATTATCACTGATTAAAACAATAGAATTCTTATAATAAAACAAGAGTCTTTATTAGGCGATTCAAATAAAGACCATGATATATTAACATATGAATTTATAGTGAATAACACTATCCATCCAAATGTTGCTAATAGAAAAATTTCATACAGAAAATCAAATTTCGCAAAAATGTCACGGTTTAATAATGAAGTTGATTGACAGGCGTTTTTTCCAAATAAAAATTCTAATGAATGTTATAATCTGTTTATAAAAATCTATAATGAGTCAGTTTTAAAACTTGTGCCATCAATAAATGTTCAGTCAAAGATTGGGTTATTATGGTTAACTAAAGAATTAAATAAAGAAATTAATTTGAAAAAAAAACTAATTGATTCAGCAGTTTATGAATATGAATCTAATATAGAAAAAAAAACCTAAAACAAATCCTAAACTATTCTATTCTTACGTTAATAAAAATAAATCAGCCAAACAAGAAATTAAATTATTAAGAGATCAGAAAAGACAATTGTATAAGGGCGAAAAGGAATTAAGACCAAAGCATCCTCTAAACTATTAGCTACATCCATATACATTCATTACATTCATATAAAATTTGTCGTATAAATCCAACTCAAATTTCTGACTCCACAACTACAACCAAAGACCAACAAGTAAATCATTGCCATCTTTTAGAAATATTGTGCTAAAATTGATGATATTTCATTCTTTGTAGACTCTTGAGATAAAATAATATTTAAAACTTTTTTTTCAATATCATGTGTTTATTGAAACTTTTTCTTTTTTGATTATTCAAATGTGTATAAAAACTGTTTACATCGTTAATCTTCTAATGCATATGATAAAGTGTTTCAAAGTTTATTATAGAATACAAGTGATGAATTAAACAATCGCAAAAATAAATTTATGTGTTTCAATACTTTGTGTAAAAATCGATATTTCAAAAAAAAAAAAGAAAGCAAAACTAACAAAATATGAAATTAAAATAAATTTTAATTAAAAAAAAACAAAAAATTAATATTTTAAATAGTTTGTGTACTGTTTCTTTAGGGTGGTTGTTATTTCCAGCAACAAACAAAGCATTAACAAGAATAATTTTCCTATATATATATATATATTTTTTTTTTAAAGAAGAAAGTGAAAATATAAATTGCTATTTGTTTGTAAAATACATTTGTATAATTTTAATGTAACATGTATATATTGTCCCTATATGCAGTGACAATTCTACAGATAAAATGAGGGGTAATGAGTCCTTCAAAAGTACTGACTGGTTTCTAAAAAACCAATCAGTACTTTTAAAGGGATGTGGGAAGGTATTTATTCCCCCCTCCCTACCTCTTCTTTGGGCAGGGAGGGGGGAATAAACACCTAAAATTGTCTCTGCCTATATGAATATGTCTATGTAATGCTTATATACACTCTATGTTTATATACACTCATATGCTGGTTTTTTCATGTATGGATATGTATCTACCTCATAGGCTTTACTTTAACATCACTTTTTTAATTATATAACTATATTTATTTGACTAATAGTAAACGCGCTTTTTGCTTATTTGGATATTGTGACTTCTTTATACACCGAACGTTGATCGAATCCCACCACTATCAAATTTTTTGTTTTTTTTTTAAATACCGCTACTCATATATTTGCTTTGTAACCATTTCTTTTTTCTTTTTTGTATATAAAAAAATTATTATTTTTGAATGATACACATTTCTTTACACTCAGATTTCTTATACCACTTGAGACTCTCAGTGTATTTTCTAAGTAAGGCACACACATTTACATGTTTTTAGGCTTCAATTAAATAAATGCATAAATCGCATAAATGGGTAAAATTCACAACAATCTTGCGAGTTTTACACATTTTGTATTGACTTTTCTGGTTATTGTTACCCATTTTGGTTATTTAAAGATTTTTCTGTTATCATTAACAACAAAAAACCAATGTTGGCAAATCATTGTATTTTTAATTCCTGAAGTTTTAATAGTGGGAACCCTGTAAGTGTAGACTAGAAATAAATTGCATAAATAAAAGTAAACTATTGATAAGATTCACTTTTCTACTTTCAGATATTCTTTTAATTATTTTTTCAACTATTCACCTCCTCCTAGTGGCCGAGAAGGCTACTACATTTGAGGAGGCTACTTTTGTGGTTACAACCCTCTCTCAACTCTTTAACTCGGATATATACGACATTAGGTTTTTCACTTGAATTGAGCGCTTATTTTATCATAAAAATATTGGCTCTTTTCTACAACAACAAAGTATTGACAAATATAAAAAAAACAATTTACAAATACTTTAAAACCCTTTGCTTTTGATGTGTTGTAATTATTAAGATCTAATTTGTTACTGGAGCCTAAAAACTATTGATATTTTGAAAGTATTTTAAAGTACTGTGTTGTAATTAAATTTAATTTTGAACCATGCTAAAAACTATTTAAACTAATTTAACAAAAATTATTAATAGGATATAAATTCAGTATTTTTTCTCTTTTCTATAAATACTATAATAGGCACTGTTCTAAAGAGCTACCGCCTCTTGTACCATCTACAAAAATTATTTCTCCTGCTACTTGTCATTCAATTAAGTCTCATTCTTTTACTGTGACTGTTCCTAAGTGCTCCAAAAATTCTTATTTGTCTTGTTTTTTTTATCGAGCATCAGTCCTTTGGAATTTGCTTCCTTCACCTTGTTTTCCTCATTCATATAATTTGCAATATTTTAAGCTGTCTGTTAATCGTTATCTTGCTCTATAAATTTCATCTTTACCCTCCAGTAACTTCCATCTCTAATAGTGGTTGCTTGCAGCCTTGTTGAAAATAAAGATATTGAAAGAAAAAAAAAATTTGAAAAGGATAATATTTTCTTATAATTTATTTCTTAAAACAATCTTATACTTAACATAATATTTTATTTATTTTTCACAATTTATCTATTTATTTTAATTAAAAATAAGGGAAAATATATTCCAGATATTTTACCCAAACAATTTTCTGGATTTTTAAAATATGACCTGGATGATCTATGGAGACTGAATTAATAAGAAACAAAAAATACTTTTGTGAAAAGAATTCCCTTAAACAAAAGCACTTCTCCCTTTTTATAATAAAAAAAAAAAGTTTTTAATTTTCTTTCGCTTATAATTATCTGTGATGGAGAGACTTATATTTTACATAATGAATTGGCAGACAATTAGAAAATAACTTCTTTAATAAAAGTTGTGAAACTACTTTACATTCCTTCAAAACTAAATTTAAATTTTTAAAATCATTTTTTATTTAAAGTTTATAAAAATTAAATTGTTTTTGTAGAAAACATTTTTTTTCTTTAAAAAATTCTCAGATGACAAAGTTTATTTTTGCCTAAAAGTTGACATTCCTCTTAGAATGTAACCTGTTTAAAATAATTTTCATATGTAGATAAAAACATGTTTAAAAGAATTTACATTGATCTTACTAGATACTGTTTGAAAGATTAGCTTAACCAGATGTTCAGCTTTGCATAATTTTTAAACATAAGTATTAAAAATAATTTCAAATATTCATTTTATGTATTTATATTAAATATTTATTCAGATTATTTGGTCAATATAGCTGTCAGTTTTAAAAATAAAGGTTATAAAGTTTGCAGTGTAGTTACTGATAACACAGTAATAACTGATAACAGCAGATAAGATGACAATTAGAAACTCATTGTTCTAATTGTGGATGGTGTTAATATTATTACATGGATGCTCATCTGCTCAATCTATTAGCCTAAGATTTTTTTATTTCAAGTATCAAAGCTACCAAATGAGATATAAACTTTTATCAAAACCGCTTAAAGTGACTCAAAATATTAAGTATACAATGACACCTTGGTTCCTATCTTATATAAGAGTAGCCGTGGCGCAGTGGTAGCGCACTTGCCTCAGAAACGTAAGATCCGTGGTTCAAACCCCACCGCTGGGCAAGTTTGGCGACATCAGTTGGGAAGGAGGCGTCAACTTCCTATTTAATGCTCTTCCGCAATGCTCTGTGATAAGACCGTAAGGACTTCTTGGGGCACCTAAATCAACTTTAAAAAAAAAAAAAATCTTAAACATTGGCTTATTTATTAACAATTTGTAAAGAAAATAGCAATAGTTGATGAGTATAATATGATAATTGTAAAAAATATTGGTGAAAAGTAAAGTTCAGAAGAATTGCTACAAATGCTTAATGCTGTTTCATTGGACCAGATATAGAGTGAGAATTCTTTTATTGGTGACAGTAAAATGATATGGAAACATCTTTAGATGGAATTAAACCATTCAAATTTAAATTAAAGATTAGGTAGGCAAAAAAAGTTTTCAAATGGGCTATAGTATAAATACATTTCAATATATTTATATATTATAAATCAACCCTTTTAAAATTATTAAGTGATAATGATATAAATAAAAAATTGAAACTTTCTTTGCAAAAAATTTAAAATTTTTACTGACTGAAATATATTTTGAAATAAATTTTTTTTTTTTTAAATACAGTTTTTAAAATAAGAAAATACAGTTTAAGTTTTTTTTTTTTAATTTTTAACTTTTTTAGGTTTTCTTTGAATTAATCAAAGCTGCTTAAATATATATATATATTTTTAAATAAAGTTTACTGATTGAGTTATTTACATAATCTATAATATTAAATATTATTTTATCGAATAGAAATAAATTAGCGTCAGTACATTAAAAATTTCATGAAATATTTTTTATTTCATTTAATTTGCATGTTTAGGCTATTTCAGAAAAATGTACAACTGTAGAAGAATTGTGTTGTTTCTCTGATTCTCTGATCAGGGGAATATTTTACAGTCATGATGATGACAAAGTTTTAGCTGAAAAGTTGTTTGCGCAGTATCGGAGGTTGGGCATGGCCTTAAGAATATTGAGACATTTTGTAGGTATGTAAAAAAAATTTATTGTACCTTTTTCAATTCATATTTTTGGGAATCAAGGTTTTTATTAAATCTATGTATGTTGTATGTATGCATGATATAATATTGATGCAGTGTTTGCTTTATTTAAAATATAATATACTTTTTCTTTTTTGTTTGTTTATTTGTAAACAACTTTTACATATTTTTATGAAATGTTTTGATTCTAGATAGATTACAAAGTGGAGATAAAAATGTTGATTTAAAGTGGTCAGGTTGGTATGATACTGTAAATGAGTCACATTCATCAAGCATTCTTACATCAATTGCAACATATGTAGCAGCCATTTCTGATTCAACTTTTACTAGTGAAAATGTAAATCCTACTAGTAGATCTAAACCTCCAAGCCCTAACCCTATTCGTAGATTAACTTCTGCTAACTATCTACCTCACAGTAAATCAGATGATGGAAATATTAGTGAGTTCTTATTTTTAATAACAGTTGTGAAATGTGATCATTTTAAGTAAAACTAAATGCTGTCAATAAACTAAACTACAAAATTACTTATATAATTTCTATTTATAAGCTGTTCTATATATATTTGTATAATGTAACCTTTACTAATGTCACTTATTCCATGGATGATTTCTTTGGAGATTTATCTCAATGATAAGCTCCTAATATCAAAGAAATCAATGAAATGAACTTCTTTCTCTGCGCCATATTTGTCAGTGTTTGTGTTTTCAACATAAAGTGAGGAGGTTGTAGCAACAATTTCAAAAGATAAAAGTTCTTCTTAAGGTTAGTGACCCCCTCAGTCTTCAAAATAAATACAGTAGAAAAAATCTTAAATACATTAAAAAAAATACAGTAAATTAATATAAAGTAAAAAATGCAGTGAAAAATACAGTGAAAACAAAAAAACCAAAATCATTTGCCATTAAAAGATTGATAAAATAAATTTTTCTCAGTGTTATATTAAAAAATGTAAAATTTTTCTTAGTGTATTATATTATTAAAAAATTTAAAATTTTTCTCAGTGTTTTATTAAAAATGTAAATGTTGTTGTACTTCACATTATCATATACAGATATTTTAATTTTTTTTTTCAGTTTTCATATATTACTGTTTGCTATAATTTTAGTGTTTATATAATATTCGTTGGAAAAACTTAACATAACAATAATTAAAATAATAACAATATAAATTTATATTATGTATAGATTTATGCTATATATAAAAATTTATTTATGTAAATCAAGAACTTCTTACAATTATTAGGTAACCATGAAGATATCGAGAAATATTTGTAAATACTAATTTTTAAACAATAATTTTGAAAGTATACTTTCACAACTGAATCATACTAATTAAAAAATTTTTTGAAGGCATTTTAAAAAAGGCTTTAGTATTGCATGCTATATTTGTTTTGCTTGCAAAATATTCAATACTACATCTGAAATAAAGTAATATGTTTGTATGTGGTTTTAAGATATATCCAATATTTTTTCTGTATTAAGAGATTTTCTCTGTTATTTATTTTAAAGGTCACAGAAAAAAAACTGAGAGCTTAAGTAGCAGCTTAGGTACTGGAAGATATCACATTAGCAAAAGTGATTCAAAAAAAAAACCTGCAAATCTAAGTATAACAACTGCTTTTGATACTGATGCTACTGATTCAGATCATTCAAAATCAAGATCTTGTAGGTACTTTTTTCTTGAATAAGTTTTTGTTTTTTAAAAATGGTTTTATGAGTAAATATATTTTTTCCATTTATGTAAATATCCCCTTTAAAATATAACAAAAATAAAATAATTATAATTTTTTTTCAAATTGTAGTCTAAATTAATAAATGTGATATAAAATTTAAAAAACATTGCACTAGCTTCTTTGGCACAGTCACCTCGCATACCATCTGCAACAATTCACACTTCTACAGTGCACTCAATTAAACATAGATATTCTGCTAAACAATTACTTGTATCAATTGCATGTGATCATTGCCATCGAGTTATGTTTGTTGGGCTCAAATGCAGAGAATGTGGGTAAGAAACTTATGTTTGTTAAACTTAAATTCAGTGACTATGGCGGGAAGAAAATTAAAGTACATAAAAGTGTTTAAGTAATATTAAGTAAGTAATATTGAAAATTTAATCTTGATAAGCATAAAGGAAAAAAAAAATCAATTGTTACAATTTTAGCTAGTTTTTTAAAATTTCATTTAACAAGTTTTTCTCAACCCTTCAACTTTAAAACAGGCGTTGACAAACAATGCTGCTGCGTGGAGAAACAAATTATTCTTGGTACTACCCAGGGTGTAAAGGAGATTGAACATGGAACTTTTTGTTTACAAAGTGAGCACTTAACCACAATGCCACAGCATATTGGTTTAATGATTAAGTATATGTGGGTATTAGCATAAAATGTGTATGTTGGTATTAAGCAAGGTATTGTGGGTATGATAAAACTCCTTCATACAATAAATCTAAAATAAAAAAAGTAGTGAAATAGTTATGATAAAAAGGACTGAAGTCATTGCATAGAAAAACTTCAAATTAGTTTAGTTTTGGTGTTGTAGTTATTATTGTTGCAGTTGTTGTTTTGATTGCAACAAATGCTCTGGATATAATATAAATATTATATTATATGTATATGTATATACATTGTTAGTTATTAAGTTGACTGCAATTCAACCTTATCATGTTACACAGAGCGCCTTGATGGTTTTGTGGCGCTGTGATGGTTTTGTTAAAACATGTTCAACTGGTTCTCAAAGGCATTTAGGCTGTCAGAGTTTAAAATCTCATCTGGTAGGTGATTCCAGCTGTTGGCAACTTGATTTGTAAAGAAATTACTTCTCTTGTTATTGAAACAAATTATCTCCTTGACCAGTTTACTTCTATGGCCACGGCTAGGCACAGAACGGATTGGAATTTGGTACCACTTAATAGTTTCTTTACCAGATTCGATTTTAAAAAGGTGTATTAAGTCTTCGCAGTGATGTCTTTTTTTAAGCATGGTAGGTTTAAAATGCATAGTATATTTTTGTGTAATACCTTTATACTATAAGCACCCAGTTTGATACCACATTGCCCAGGTTTACTCTTTGTTGATGTTTGCATAGAAAGCATTTCACTCATTCCAGAATTTGACCATTGAGTTTTTTACTTTCAGGATTAGACTCATAAAATGAACTTTGTCAAAGGCCTTGGTGAAGTCTAGGAAAAGCAAGTCTATCAACGATCGATTAGCTGATGCTTTTGTTAAATAATGCATAGTTTCAAGCTTTTTTGTTGAGCATAACTTATGAGGAACAAAATCATGCTGTTATTGTGTGATCAAATTGCTGTCTACCAGGTGGGCTAGGATGGCTTGCATAACTATATTTTCCAGGTCGGTGGTCTAGTCTTTAACTATATTGCCCAGGTTGGTGGTCTAGCAACTCTTTTTTGAATATAGTTTACTATAAAAAATTTTCCATGCAGTAGGAACTTTACCTAGATCAAGTGATTGCTGGAATAGAAATTAAGGTTTTGCTAATATTGCCATAATTATTGTTAGTTTTACTAAAAGGTTTGCTAAGTACTGAACTAGATGCTGAGTTACATCCTGAGAATGCATCCTTTATACTTTTGTTAACTAGAAGAGATGGCCAAAAGATGGGTCTGATATTCAGTGTCGAGCAGTAGTGGTGTAGTGGTAAAGGGCTCACTTAATAAGCAAGAAGTTTCAAGTACTATCCCTTCTTCCCCCTCGCTTACCCTCCCCCACACTTCCTGGTAGTTATTTCTCAGCGCAGTGGCCTTGTTCTCCAAGATTTGTGTTTCAGAGTTAAAGAATTGAGAGAGGGTTGTAACCTCAAAAAGTACCCTCCTCAACTGTAGTAGTCCTCTCAGCTTTGGGGAGGTAAATAACATAAAATAAAACAACAAAACTGTAAAAGTAGGAAAGAGTACATGTTGATGAAAATGTTTCCTAGACTGTTATCTGGTCTGAGCACCTTGATTGATCCATCTGTTGCTCATCTTATATATATATATATATATATATATATATATATATATATATATATATATATATATATATATATATATATATATATATATATATATATATATATATATATATATATATATATAAGACATATATATATATATATATATATATATGTCTTATATATTCATATATATATATATATATATATATATATATATATATATATATATATATATATATATATATATATATATATATATATATATATATATATATATCATATATATATATATATATATATATATATATATATATATATATATATATATATATATATATTCATATATATATAATTATTTAGTATTAAAATGAAAAAAATACAACTTTTTGTTGGTACTCAGAGTTTCATGCCTGGCGGCAATCATCAGCCATGTATATTTTTTTAAATCAAGAAATTAAAAAGCCATTTAAAATACAAATTAAGCAATGCAATGGTTTCTGACGTCAAAACATTGACTACACGAAGTCTACCTTTAGCCTGTGTTGAATTGACAAAGAAGGAGTTTATTTCTATCCCAACATTTTGATATAGTTTCAGTCTTTTTATTTAATAAACTCTTGTCATTATTTGAAATAATTTCATATTTTTCATTAAGGCATAATTTGCACGATTTTGTTGTCAGGTTATATGCTTCACATCTTCTAATTATTTTCCAATTGATCACAGGATTTTTATCATTATCTTTTAAGTTCCAAACCTCCTTTGACATCTCAAGGAAACAATTTAAACAATTTCAAATGGTTAGCAAACTGAGATATGCTAACCATTTGAAATCGTTTAATATCCCCAAGTATAGAAACGATACAGAGCTGTCAAAGGAGTTTGGAACTTAAAAGATAATGATAAAAATCCTGTGATCAATTGGAAAATAATTAGAAGATGTGAAGCATATAACCTGACAACAAAATCGTGCAAATTATGCCTTAATGAAAAATATGAAATTATTTCAAATAATGACAAGAGTTTATTAAATAAAAAGAATGAAATTATATCAAAATGTTGGCATAGAAATAAATTCCTTCTTTGTCAATTCAACACAGGCTAAAGGTAGACTTCGTGTAGTCAATGTTTTGACGTCAGATCCCATTGCATTGCTTAATTTGTATTTTAAACGGTTTTTTAATTTCTTGATTTAAAAAAATATATATGGCTGATGATTGCCGCCAGGCATGAAACTCTGAGTACCAACAAAAAGTTGTATTTTTTTCATTTTAATACTAAATAATTATATTAGATCTATTATAAAAATCTTTGTTTTTATAATATTGATCAGTTTTAAACGAACAAGAGTTTTTTTGTACATTATTATACAAAAAACATTATACAAAAAACATTATACAAAATATATATATATATATATATATATATATATATATATATATATATATATATATATATATATATATATATATATATATATATATATATATGAATATATATATATATATAAATTTTAAATTGATTTTAGATTTAAATGCCATAAAAAGTGTTCCCGCAAAGCTCCTCCATCATGTCGGCCTGAATATATTGAAAAATTTTTTAAACTAGCTAAAGAAGGAAAAGCAGAAGGTTATTTTTTGTTACTTTTCTATATCAAATGCTATTACACAAACTTTATTGATGTTCTATGGTGTCAAAAAAAAAAATGTCATTACTGTTGCAATAAAATACTTTAAAAAATGCATTTGGATGGAAAGTAATTGTTTTCTAGAAGTTTAAGAACATCAAAACAGATTTTGTGTATAAATTAAAAAAATTCATAAAATAGTTTTTTTCCTGGTCTCAATTCTTCTCTCACTATTTGCTATTGCTGTTACAAGTTTTTGATGTTGGAATTAGTAGAGATGCTTAAACATTTTGTAAACTTTGGCCATCTGTAATCATTTAGCTTTAATAATATTAACACCCTAACATAAACAACTTTTCAACAAATTTTCATGGTAGACACTTTATTTTTTTTTGTAACCTCTTAACATAAACATGCAATACCTTTTTAACACCTTTTTAAACATTGAAATAATGTTTTTTAATATTTAAATGCACCAATTACTAATAATTTTTATTGCTAGAGATTCATTCAATAAAAAGAACAAGCTCTGAACCTAGTGACATTGTTCATGGGATCCATAGAGAAAAACCTGAGCATCGCAGCCATGGTAATCTTATGCAAAAAAACAAGACAATAATATCAGTTGACTCATACTCTACTGCTTCTTCGTCTTCTGTTTGTTCTTCTCCTTTTCATTCTGACTCTCCGGTTGTTACGCCTGCAGAAAAAAAAAATTCGGATGAAATATTCAACTTTTCAGGTGACTTTTAATTTTTACTAGATATCTGTGCTTATAATCTTACTGTTGTAGGTAATTTTTAAGTTCTCAAAAGATAAAAATAGCTATATAGGTATCTTAAATAATTTAGTTTTTCAACTTACAATTGAGTACATTAAAATAATAGTCGAAATAATAGTTAAATTTTCTTGAAATAATAAGTTAATGTCTTAAGTATATTTTTTTTTTTAAGTATTATGTTTGAAAATAAATAAGAATAATTATTTAATTCCTCCTTACTAACTTCTTTTCAATAAGTATTAGATAAGTGTAACAATAGTGATGTAGTATTTTTAGTAGGGATGTACCGAAGCTTCGGCTTTGGCCGAAGCCAGGGTCAGTTTTTGCCAAAGCATTAGCTTTGGCAAGTAGTTTTAGGTAATTAAAGATAATAAGCTACTGTTATATTGAACATAAAATAATTTTATTGCTTACAATATAATTACTAAAATTCTACTATTTGTAATTTGCTCCTTTACTTTGATTCCTTGATGTATGCCATGGCATATATAGTATACATTGCGACGTGCCACAAACTATATTGTTATTTTTTGTTTGTTTGCCTACTTATCAAAATTAATGGGTAATTTTTTATATTTTATGTAAGTTCTATGTTTAATTTCATTTCGTTGTTATATTTACTATAACCTATTTTCATTGTAACTTGTAAAAAATTATTTCTTATCACCACTCAAAAACATGAATTATTAATGATTTTATAATTAAAGAAGCAGATAACATGCAGAAAATCAATGGTAGCATGCTGCAATAATTGTATGCATACTAAAACACTTTGAAAGCGTTACGAAAGGTAAGAGCAGACCCATTAGAAATCATACCATTTCTTGACTAAGCTGGGAACAAATCAACTGGAATCAAAACTGTTGTTGATGAACTTAAAACTGATTTTAAAATTCATTTTCATAAATACAAAGATAATACTCGTCTGAAAATTGCAATGATTCTCAAACCCCGTTTTAGATAAAATATTTTAAGAAACAGATCATAGCATTATTAAGGAAATTTTATATCAAGGGTACTACCGCTTTCATTTGGAATATTGATACTCTAAATGAAAGTGGTAGTACCCTTGATATAAAATTGATAAAAAAAGAAGTTAATTTCTTTAAAGACTCCGATTGTAATGGTCCAATCAAAAAAGAAAGCATGAGCATGTACAGCTTATTAGAGAAAATGGGTATAAATGAAAAGGCTTCACAGAAATATGAAAACATTGATGGAGGGAAAAAAAAGTATAATAGTAAAAATCCTAGAGTCAAACTCAAAATTTAAAAGGAAAATGGTAGGAATAAAAAGTATCTAAATAAAATTGTAATTTTTTTAAGTTTATTACAAATATAATTAAAAATTGATGTTAATTTTCAAATTAATTATGATGTTGCATTCAGCCCTGTTAATAGAAATTTATTTACAGGTTTGTTTGTACACCAGAATAGCTGTAGACAAAATTGTATTATTTAAGTTATGGAAAGATTACTGCAAGCAAGCACAAACTATATACAGTCAGGCTGTGTCTTCCTGTAGTTACGGTTGCATTTAATATTTTTGATTTTCCATGCAAAACATAATTATTTATCAGCTATAAATATTTATTTATAAGTTAAATAAGAGTATTATTTTTTTCTTACTTGATTAAAGATTTAAAATATTTGTTTAAACTTTAAATTGATTCATAGTTTTGATTCAACATGGACAAGTCAACTTCGACTTTAGCCTATCAACATTACTAAAAAATGAATGCCCTTATAAGTGATTAGGTGTTTACAGTTACACCTGCTCCAATAAAGACACTAACAAGTGGGATTTGGCAAGGTTTTCAATGAAAATGTGCGCACCTCTTTCATCCGTAAAGAGTCAACCTCTGTTTAGCACAACAGCAAACATATTTCAAGCCAAAAGAAACAGGCTATTGCCTGCGCATGGAAAACATATTACGTTTTTAAACTATAGTTTGCCTGATTTCTAACAATTGATAATTAGTTTAAATGTAATAAACTAATAAGTATAATAAAAACAACCTCTCTTATTTACTATAATTTATGGTAATTCCTAAATAGAAATTTCATTATAACACAAAGTACAAACTAATGTAATGTTCAACTACTAATTAGTAATTTGTAATTACTAGTTAGCTAGTTATCTTTTTTTCATGTAACATTTGTTCAAACAAGGTATTATCCTAAAATCCTATGACATTGCGTAATTTAAAAAAAAACCTTGATGATTTGTTATAGTAAAAAATCTTGTGCGCTAAAATACTTATAAATGTAGTACATATCTTTTTTTATATGCAATGTGTATAATAATTGTAGTAAAATGTTAAAAAATGTTTTTCAGCAATTAATATAATACCTAGATAGCTAGATCTGCAAGATAGCAAATTTTACTTATGTAAGTGCAAAAGCTTCGGCTCTGGCCGAAGCTTCGGCTTTGGCAAAATCTTAGCTCTGGTACATGCCTAATTTTTAGTAAAAAATGTTAATTTAGCAGGAACTTTAATCATAGTGAACTAGTCATCTGTCGTTGGCTTCAGTATAAAAATCTACTAAGATAAATCTAAAAAATTTATTTTTAACTTTATTGTTTTATTTTTTTGTTTTGTTTTAATAAATTAAATGCGGTTTTAATAGATTAAATATGGTTTTAATAAACTAAGTACGGTTTTCATTTTAGAAATATTCAGTATTTAAAAATTGATATTTTATGTCTTGAATAAAATTTGTTGAAGCTTTATAATATTTTTTTAATTTAAAACTAAAATTTTATAATATTTTTAATTTAAAACTAAAATTTTATAATATTTTTTTAATTTAAAACTAAAATGTTTTTTGATTATAAAAGTAAAACAATTTATAAAAAAGATTTAAAATGGTTTGGACCAACCATTCTCATTATCTTTACCAAAAAAAAAATTTTTTTTGACAAGCGCTTTGATAATGATAAATTATAAATGCTTTAATTTTTACTATTTGAAGAAAATATTTTTTAAAATTAAATAATTTTTTTTCCTGCATTATATTAGAGTAAGATTATATAAAATATTTTTTATAAACAGTAAAAATTTATATAGCATTTTATTTATTAAATTTTCCATTGAATAAATAAAGTTGTTAACAAATAAATGGATAGCTAGAGTGAAAACCCAAAGAAAACGCTTGTCTAATAAAAAATTTCACGGCAAGATAAACTTGTTATATATACATATATTCTTGTAACATTACAAACATATGCTTGTCATTTTTTTTATAAAATGATGACTATTTTTAAAATTTTTGTATAATTTCGCTTCTTTTGAGACCCAACATGATATACTTTTGAAGAAATATTTTTTTGACAATTATATGGACCCATCCGATGTTCAAGGGTCTTGAGCAACCACTGAAAATTTTTTTTTTTTAAAGTTTTTTAATTCTAGTAACATTTTATTATATAGAACACATTAAGAGGGTGTATGTATGTATGTATGTATGTATGTATGTATGTATGTATGTATGTATGTATGTATGTATGTATGTATGTATGTATGTATGTAGATTAGGGTGTAATATATATATCTTATACTGCTGATTTAGGTGGGAGGTGTGTCGTCATTCTGAAATAGCCTGCTGCCAGGGGCTTCAGTACATACATCAACTGACAAATAGCCTGACTTGCAGTGGAGTGGTGTTACATAGCCTAAGGGTTTTGGGATGGGTCAGCAACCTTTTCATTCATTATTCATCGTTTTCCCTCTTGGTTTTCTAAAAAAACTATATCGATTTAGATAAGCAAAAAAAGTGAGCAAGTGCGCATATAGTATATAAATATATATATATATATATATATATATATATATATATATATATATATATATATATATATATATATATATATATATATATATATATAAATATAATGTAAGCAATATCAATATGCTATAGAAAAAGTTTGATATACAGACACATGTCAATAAGTTTTAAATACGTTTTATTCAGGATATATATTAAAAATACTATCAGATCTTCTCATGTTTTGAACTAACTTCTTTAATATTATGTCTAATATATTGATAAAAAGCATTAGTTATTAATTTTTGTTTCAAAAATAATGTAATTTTAGCATTCAAATTTAATTTTCAGATCATTCGCTCAGTAAATTGCCTACAGAAAATTTTCATGATACCCTTAAAAGTACAATAAGTTCAACAAAAAGGTAAATTATGAAATTTTTTTTTTTATTAATAGCAACTCTAAAAATTTGTGCACCTTTATTTCCTTTATAAACAATAATAATAGAAATAATTAGTATTAATTGTTATATTATAATAAACAAATATAATAGAAATTTAAAGGTTTCAAATCAAGTTATGTCAACCATTCAAAAATCTTTTAAAAAATCTAAACTTTTAGAATTATGTTGGCTCTTTATTAGTGTTTTTTAATTTGAGACATTTAAAAGTAATTTTTTTTTAATATGCTTAAAATATTCTTAACAAGATTTCAAATCTATTTTTGCTGTTCTAAGAAAAAAGGCATTTAAAGTTTTAAATTTATCACTGTGTTTGATTTTTTTGATTAAATGTAATTGTTTTTTGTCTGTTTATAGCAAATCCTATTATTGTTTATAATATATCAAAAAAAGTCAAATTGACTTAGAATCTTAAAAGGATATTAAATATGGAAAACAAATTAAATATCATAAGTCCATAAATTTTATGCAATTATTACTCTCTTATCTTTTTAGTTAATTAGCGATAATAATCAAAAAAAAGTTATAATATTTAACTTGTGATAGAGTCATTAACATGAAACAAACTTGAAAAATTCTTCTAAGTAAAATAAATATACAAATATACTTCCAACAAAGCTAAAGGCATTTTTTTTTTGAAGGCAGAAATTCTTTTTATATTAGCATTTTTGAATGCTGAAATAATTTTTATTTTGGCATTTCTGAAGGCAGAAATACTTTTAATTTTGGCATTTCTGAAGGCAGAAATACTCTTTATGTTGGAAAAAAACTAAACATGTAAATTGGTTAAATTGAAATTGGTTAAAAAGTAAGAAAGCAATTTGTTAAAATACAAACTCTACAAGGTATACCGGTATGAAATGAGCGTTTTTTGTGAAAATAAAACACTAATTATTAATGGGAAAGTATAAAACATTTTATTCAAAGTATTGGCCATTGTTTTCTACACACTTTGACCACCTTTCTGGCAATTTGTGGATACCACGCCAATAAAATTGTTCGTTTTTTAAAGCAAACCAACCAGACACCCAATTTTCGACCTCCTCATAGGAATCAAAGTGCTGCTCAGCCAATGCGTGTCCCATCGATGAAAACAAATGGTAGTCGGAAGGAGCCAAGTCTGGTGAATACGGCGGGTGGGGTAGCAGCTCCCAGCCAAGTGTTTTGATTGTATCCTGAACCAGTTTTGCTTTGTGTGCAGGTGCATTGTCATGGAGCAAAATTACCTTGCCGTGTCTTCTGGCCCATTCTGGTCGTTTCTCAATCAATGCATGGTTCAAATTGATCGTGGAACACCACACCTTTCTGGTCCCACCAAACACACAGCATTGTCTTCTTGCCGAACCGATCTGGTTTTGCAGTTGATGTTGATGGTTGTCCCGGATTAACCCATGATTTTTTCCATTTAGGATTCTTAAAATAAATCCATTTTTCATCGCCAGTAACAATCTGATGCAAAACCGATTTTCTTTCGTGTCTTTGAAGCAAAATTTCACAAGTGTTTTTTCGGTTTTCCATCTGTCTTTCATTCAATTCATGTGGCACCCATTTTCCACACTTTTGGATCTTTCCCATAGCTTCTAAACGATCAAAAATTGTTTGTTGTGCAACATTTAACATTTCTGCCATTTGCTTTTGACTCAAAGTGTCATCTCCATCCAATATCGTTTGCAATTCGGCGTCTTCAAACTTTTTTGGTGGTCTTCCACGTTCTTCATTTCTCACATCAAAATCATTATTTCTGAACCGTTGTAACCATCTTTTGCATGTTGCTTCTGATAGAGCATGATCACCATATGCCTCGACAAGCATTCGATGCGACTCTGCAGCACTTTTCTTCAAATGAAAACAAAAAATTAATGCTTTCCGCAAATCATCACTTTCTGGTACAAAATTCGACATTTTTAACACGATGAAAAAATATGATGTTGTCTGTTCAATGACTTGATGTATACTAAATATGTTTCACAAATGTCATAGCAAACAAACAAAAAAAATAAAGGCTCGTTCACAACAAATGTTCCCTATCGAGACATTTGTATCTTGACGCTCACTTCATACCGGTATACCTGGTAAATATCTAAAATTTATTGCTGCATCATTGTGCTTTTTTTATTCACAACAACTGTTTGGTATTTGAGTCTATTGTATTTATCCCACAAGCATTTATATATACAAAAACTCTAATGTTTAAATTACTAAAGATCTTTAAAGTAGCATAATCATTAAAAAAAAAAAAAAACATTAATTAAATAAAACATAAATTAATAAAAATAAAATGTAAACATAAATTAATTAACATCTGTTATGGCAATGTTAACATAGCATGTTCAATTATATATTAATTCACCAAGTTAATAAAACAATAATTTAATTGTAGAAAAGTGAAACACAATGGAAGAAGAGATATTCAAAATATTGATTTGATCAATAGATTACAATAAGACAAAAACAAAAGATCTATGAATTGAGTCCAAAAATATTCAGTGTCAAAAGATCCATCAGATGAGAATTTCTTTATTAACATATAGAGCTTTTGTATAAATAAGAGGCCAAAATATAGTTTATGCTTGAGAATGGTTTTTTAGAAAAATTTACATAGCCTTTACCTGATAAAGTAAATTTTACAAACAAACATGCTATGTGACAAGATATACCCGGTATTTACCAGTAACAGGCCCCTCCTTATCTGATTGTTGCTTGCAAGATGTGTTGCTTACATAAAGTTCTTTAATTATAAATTAAATAGAGACAATAAAGTATGCTTTATAAATTTTTTTATTATATAAAGGATTATCTTTTTCCAAATATTTCTGGAATACCGGATATTTAAACATTTTCTTTGGATATTTAAACATTTTCCATGCATACAAGTTTAGGTAAACATTTTTGTAATATATTTGTTTTTTAAGCTTTTTTGCTTCACAGAAAAATTAGAAAAAATTAAAATAACTCTCAGCTAAAAGCAAAATTAAGAGGAAAATAGGGGAAAATATGTTCCAGATTTTTTCTGGATATTTTACCCAAACAATTTTTGAGTTTTTTAAAATATAAGCGGGATGATCTAAGTTATATGAAAAAACAACTGTCAAAGTGTAAGGATTAAAAGCAAAATGAAGCAACACATTATCTGGATATATAGTTTTTTAGTGTTTACACTCAATCTATCTACTTTGAAGGAAAACTAGATATTTTAATTGTTTATGAGTGATTAATTTTTTCTAAAAACTTTATCAAACCTTAAAGAGGTTTTTACTGAATGTTTTGTAGGTGATAAGATACAAATTTTTAGATGTTTTAATTTTGTTTAATGTTATTCTAATAATGTTTTAATCTAGCAAAAAATTAAGTTTATTTATCTCCATAATGTATTTTGCTGTTGTGTATTTAATTTAAGTGAGATCAAATAAAAAACAAAAAATTCAAAAAAGTTGTACGTACTACTAAGCTTCTGTAAACCTTTTTTTTATTTTAGTGAAATATGCTTACTAATAATTTACAATCAAGAACACTTTTTTTTTTTTTTAGTGAAACATCTACTGATACTTTAACTATGAATGGAGCCAACACATCAAAATTTAGCCCAAATACTGCACGATCAAAAAATGTAAGTTGTTTTGTTTCTATATTGTAAATAAATATTGTATATTCAAGTTAAACTGCTCTGTAAACTTATTGTAGCATAAAACTCATAGAATTATTCCAGCCCATAGTACCATAAAACTCACAGTCTTAACCTGCACCAAAAAAAAAATTACATTAGTAAATCACGAGCATAACAAATCAAAAAAATGTTTCTAATCACTTAGTTTTCAAGACTGATTTACACAATTGACTTATAAAATAACAAAAGCAACCTTGTAGCCGTAGTTTTTAAAAATTTTTTTTTTCTGCTTCAGTAATTGATTACCAAATTAGAGTCCATGTCTTCATCATAATTCTGATATTTCTTTAATAGTTATGATTGAACAGTAGACTTTCCAAAACATGTAAGTGTGACACTTCTTTTTAAAATGTAAAAAACTTTAATGTTGCTGCAAAACAAGATTTTAAGTCCATTTTTGCTGTTCTGTGAAAAAGGCATTTTAAGTTTTAAATCACTGCTTTTGATTATTTTGATTAAACGTAATTGTTTTTTGTCTGTTAATCACAAATTCTATTATTTTTTATAGTATAACAAAAAAAGACAAGTTAACTTAAGGATATTAAATATGGAAAACTCTACAAATTTTAAATAAATTAAATAAATTAGTCCATAAATTTTATGCAATTATTTAACTTTTACTCTCTTATCTTATTAGTTAATAAGCCCATTGCATAGGTGTGTAGATTGCACCCATTGCATAGGTGTGTAGATTGCACCCATTGCATAGGTGTGTAGATTGCACCCATTGCATAGGTGTGTAGATTGTTTGATTTTGATATTGTTTTTCAGTTATTGGGCTGCATCGTTTACATTCTGAATATGTCCTGGCTCAATTAAATCTAGTTTGAATAGATTAATTGCATTGGATAATATTTTGTTCATCGTTCTATTTTGATTTTAGCCCTCATCTATCACAGAAGAGAAAAAAATGTATTACACTTTCTTTTTTTTCAGATTTAATAAATTTAAGTACTCCTGTGCTAAATTCACATCTCGCTTTTTCTCATTCATTCTCCTTTTACAAATATGAATATGTCTTTGCAGAATCAAGTTTTGTAACAGTGAGATTATGGTTTTTTTTATATGGTGATAAAAGAATTTGCTCGAAAGTTGCAGTTACAATGTTTTGGCTTTTTCTATATATTGTTGCTTGAGTTACTGACTACTGGAACATACTTAGGAAATGCAGTGGATTGTTTGTAAAACCTATTTATGTAGTGTTACTTGTTCATAACTTTAGTATAAGTGTTCTCCTGTATTCCAGATCTGCTAACATTTTTTCTTATCTCCGTTATTCCTAATACTGCACAATTTGGAAGATCATGATTTATCTTCAAGTTCATGATTGCTTTATTTCTTATATTCCTTATAGGCGATTGGTCTCTATATAACTTTAACAGGAAACGTGTTTCTTTCTGTTGCAAGTTTTATATTTTTACTATCAGCAACTTGTCAACGATTTTATGATTCTTTGAAAAAAAGTGTGGAAGTTTTGAGAAGTTGTTTTATTTGTTGCAAAGATGAGGAATACCAACCAAAATTTTGACAGTGTTTTGATGAAAACAAACTTATTTTTTCTAATAGAATCTTATCAGATTCTGCAAAGGTGGACTCAGATAGTTTAAGTGTATGACTACTTTTAGTACTTTTAGTGTATGACTTCTTTTAGTACTTTTAGTGTATGACTTCTTTTAGTACTTTTAGTGTTTGACTTTTAGTACTAGGCTGCAAATAGTACTATATTAGTTGTCATCTTCTTGTTTAATTCTTTGCATCTTTTTTAACTTGATGACAAGTATTTATACAAGATGTCTTCACAGCTTTACTGATAGCTTTACCTTTCTGTTTTAAATATAAGTTTATCTTGTATCTTCCGCGTATTACAGGTGGCTTAGAATTTAGGTTCAGACTGATTCCAGTATCCACATAGTGTTTGATTATTTGATTCAACTAACTATTCTTCTCAAAAGATCAACTTTTTTTGTCTTTATCAGCACAGCATAAACACATCCATCTCTTGTTTTATAGGTCAAAATATTTTTAAAAAAAATGCAATTTTTAATTTGTTCAATGGTTTCTTTTTTATATGAACCTACTGAGTGGTTAAAAAATATATGAAGTAAAAATAACTTTAAACTATATGAAGTAAAAATAACAAAAAATCTCTGAAAAAGATTAGTAGCTATCGGTTGCAACTTATTTCAACATCTCATCACTTGCAACTTATTTCAACATCTCATACAGAAAAACATTAAATTTTTTTGCATTAAATTTCAATCAATAATTAGAATTTAAAATTCACATGCAAAATATATAAGTAATCAAATTATTTAATCATGTTTTACATTATTAACACTTTTTCTAAATTTCTACTAATTTGTTTACTTTTTTTTTGTGTATTTGTTAAAATTTGTTTTATTTTGTGAATTTAAATTCACAAGTTTGAAAAAGTTATTAAATTGAAAAAATGGAGTATAAAAGTGTATAACAATATTTTATATAAAATATATATATGATAAAAATAATATATATATATATATATATATATATATATATATATATATATATATATATATATATATATATATATATATATATATATATATATATATATGTATATATATATATATACAAATGTGTATATATATATATATATATATATATAAAATATTGTATAATATATAAATTTTATATATATATATATATAAAATATTGTATAATATATAAATTTTATATATATATATATATATAAAATATTGTATAATATATAAATTTAAAAAAATTAAATTAAGGTTGATTTAGGTGAAATTAATTTTGATGATTTTGATTTAGATACAATGTGATGATGATTGTTCCTGTGCCGTAGATGATTTGCATAGCCAAATTTCTGATGTTGTGAAACATGTGAAATTGCGTGTAAGTAAATATGTTATTTCTTTAAAGAGATTTCTAACTAGTAGAAACATATTTATTTAGAAAAACATTACCACATTGTAATAAAATTCTTCATACTAACTACAATTAAAATTATAATTGAATTAGTTTAGCAATTAAAATGTGTCCATTCAAAATCAAAATTAACAAAAATTTAAATAGTTAGAACTAGTATGTAATAAACAAAATAGTTAATGAATAATAAGAATTTAATTTTTTAGTAAAATTTTTAACTAAAGGTGTTTACAACAGATGCCCTTTCTTAGGTTAATCTTTTTGTTAATCTTAGGTTAATCTTTTTTTTTTCAGTTCAAGACTGATTATTTTTATTTTGATACTATCTCAATTGGAAGATTACAATTGGAAGATAGTTGGTTGCATTAAATAACTGAGTTTTGTAAGAGTTAAAATTTACAAGCCACTGCAACCCTTACTCTGTTACAGAAGTAAGATCAGATTCAAGATTGGCTGTCTGTGATATTTTGTCTAGACAGGAGTATAAAGTTGAGTTGTCAGTGTTGCTTTAGATGTAAACTTGTCAAAAAGATCATTAATGTAGATAAGGAAAAAAACACAACCAAGGATAGAACCTTGATTTACCCCTGAAGTTACTGAAAATGAAGAAGAGTGTTGGCCTTTGAGAATGACTTTAATAATTTCCAACTTAAATACTTAATACCTTAAAAACTTAAATAAACTATTTGAAAAAGCATATATCCACAGACTACAGTGTTTTTAAGAAAAAATAATAAATAATAAAAAAATAACTAACACTTTATAACTCATACATTAATAGAAATAACAGATTAGATGGCATTAAAAGTATCCCTCTTCTTTGGTTCTCCTTCCTTACTAACAGATCACAATTCGTTTTAATTAATGGTATCAACTCAGCGCTCAATTTTTTAATGGTGTTCCACAAGGCTTGGTTTTAGACCTCTTTTTTTATTTTTATCAATGATCTGAAAGTTTCACTTAACTTTTTTACTGCTTACTATTATGCAGATGACACTAACTTGCTTCTACTAACAAATCTAATAAACTTATCAAACTTATGAACCATGATCTAGCCAACATTGTTCAATGGCTCCACTTCAATAAATTATCCTTAGCTCTAAAAAAAAAACTGAAATTAAATTTAAATCTATGATTAACGTATTAATTATATTAATTATGTTAATCTATGATGTATTCAAACAAAAATAAGTCAGCTTAATTTCAAATTAAGTTGACTTTTTAAGCAAATTTGAAAAAACAAAGCTGAACAGCAAGCTGCAAACATTTATATTTCCAGTCAAGCAAGGCAGAAAGAAGAAAATTATGAAAAAGCTGGAACGTCTTGTGATACTAGAGAAAAATCAATTCAATGTGCTGACGAGTTTTAGAATGAGAAACAATTAACATGAAACGTAAGTTGCTTAATATTGTTAGTGATGAATATGTGGGATGTGAGCGGTGTTTAAAAGTAGATCCACTCTACTAAAATGTTTAGATCTATAAATCTAAACATTTCAGTAGAGTGGAAATTATGTTATGTCAATGCTCATGGCTCTAAAAAAGAAAATTTACAACCAGATGAAACAAAATTTGAAGGAACACAAATCAGTTTCGTATAAGAAAGATCTAAACAATAAATATGGCAGTTCAGTAGTATTTAAACAACACAGTAAACATTTTTAGTTTAACATTTTTAATTAGCAATTTCATAATTAAAAACTAAAAACCATTCAATATTTTTAAAAAAATAATTGATTTACAAAAAAAAAAAAATTGGTGATTTTCAAATTAAAAACTAAAGATTATTAGTTTTTCTTAACAGAAATAATGAGAACTCTATTTGAAAAAAAGTACAGGTTGTAAAATTGAGAACTCTATTTGAAAAAAAGTACAGGTTGTAAAATTTAAATTATTATTGATGAAACTTTAACCGTTTTATAAAAAAGCCTTTTAGTAATTTATTTGAAATATGAAATTCAAAATTAAAAAGATATTGTAACAGTTTTTATTAATCTGGTTGAATTAGAAAGAAAAATATCAAAAAAATTTTTTAATACATTAAAGAGATCCCAAACCTCTGAGACATGTTGTGTACAAATTAAAGAGAATGATAAAAAAAATGTTTGGGATAAAAATTTTTGATTGAAACAAAGGAATAAATGCATACCAAGAAAAATTAACTTTCTTATATTAGTTGAAGCTCACCTTTTCCGTTTTGTTGTAGGCCAAAAAGTCTTTATAATATATGCTGCAAACTATAGACTTGATAATTTATTCAAGCGTGTTTTATTCCTATGAGTTTTAGTACATGATGTTATTAATTTTTTTGTTTGTTTACATAAATTGTTTTTTTAAACAAGAAAATTAATGATGTCATGTATTAAAACTCTTAGGAATAAAACAAATTATTGTCTGTAGATTGAATTAAAATATAAAGACTATTTGGCCCACAACAAAACGGAGAAGGCAAGCTTAAACTAAAAAAAAAGTTAGTTTTTCTTGAAATGCATTTATTCTTTTATTTTATTCAAAAAAATTTAACCCAAATGTTTTTATTTTATCATTCTCCTTAATATGAACTTAACATGTATCGGAGGTTTAGGATCGCTTTAATATCAGTTCTCAAATAACAGTTTTGATACAAAATATTTACATAAAAATCTTATTGAATTTTACTCAGATGGTGCAAGTGTAATGTTCAGAAAAAAGGCTGCAAAACTTTTAGAAAAATTTCCTGGTTAGCGTTTGCCATTGTTTAGCTCATCATATCCAGTTAACTCTAGATTATATTGTTAATGAAGTAAATAGCTTTAGATATTTTTTTCGATAAACTTTATTTGTATCATCATCTTTCAAATAAACATACAGAATTAAAGAATGTTTTTACAAAACTTGGCAATGAAGTACACTAAATAGGACAAATAATAATAATAATAAAAATATTTATTTTTTTTAATTATAATTTTTAAAGACAAAGTTCAAGTAGTCTTTTAATGTCATCTAAATTAAAAACAATTTTTTGTTTTTGTTTATAACATTTTATATAATTTCTATTATAATATTTATTGCTTTTTTAATTGGAACTTGAGGATACAATTGACTACATCAAAAAATGTAGTCAGTTGTATAACGATTGACCTTTTTAAACTTACTTATGAAAAACTAAAAGAAAAGTAACAATTTTGCTCTGAATGTTTTTAAATAGTTGGTCCTGGAGTTTCTCATTTTTGCAACATAAAAAATAACTGTTCAAAGTGTCTTTATTACTTCAAGAATCTAAATGCCGATGATAGTTGTTTAAAATATAAAACTTGCAACAGTTGGCAATTCCTGTTAAACTGTACAGAGACTGTAATACTAAAAGAACTGTAAACTTATAAAGCATGTTCGCACCATTTATGTACGCAAGCTTTTTTTGCGTTATCATCATTTAAACTTTATAAGTGCTTTTTATAACATTAATTATTTCTTTTATCTTACCACTTAAATCATATCTTTAGACTTGTTTAAATATTAAAAAATGGCTTTCGTTTTCGTTAAATCGCTTAGCTCATGTGTAAATGGTTTGCTAAGCCAACAGATATCAAAAAAGTGAAAACATAAATTTTTTTACAATTTAGAATAAATTTTGAATAAAAATGTTATTTAAATTAAAAAAATTAGATTTTTTTTATATCCATGTCTTTATATTATCACCGTTGTACAATTTTTTGTTTAGCTGAAAATGGCGCTTGAAATCTAAAGTAAACTAAACAAAATAATAGTGAAAATGAAAAGCCATAAACTGAAAAAAGTTGATAAATCTTAACCTAAGAGAAAATAAAATAAAAATAAAAAAGTAAGCTAGAAACCAAACTTGATTTTTTAAATTTAAAAGTGTTTTGTTTAATAGATTTGCATAAAGATCAAAGTCAATTATTTCATATTAATTTATAAATGAAATTTTAAACAAATAAAACATTTGCAACATGCATTCTCTTTGAGAATTATATACGTCAATATAAAGAAAGAACAAATTTTAAATTATATTTACAAAAATGCTTTACAAAAATTGTATGTTTTATCTCAATATGGCAAGGGGGCAAATCTTTGTTTTTTAATCTATTTTTACAATATATTTATATGTTTATAAACAAGTTTATATTGTAAATTAATAAAAAGTTATTAATTGCAATAAAAAAATCATTCTCTATCATCAGTCTTTTTCGCTATAATCTTCTACTTGTTTATCAGAATCCAATGATAATCCGATGATAAAAACAACTATTTAAAGTTAACTTGTCTAAAAACTTGGCAGAAATTATCTAAATTTAATAATATTTCCAAATATTTTACTGATAGCTGAGTTATACTTATACTGTTTATTATCATCTAACATTTATCATTGTCATTTATATGCGGTAGTGGTGTAGTGGTAAGAGCGCTCGCTTTGTAAGCGAGTTCGGACTCCCACCACATCCCTGGAAGTACCGCGCTCAACTTAATTTCTCCGTGCAGCGGTCTTGCTTGTCAAGGTTCGTGTTTCGGAGTTTCGTGTTTCGGAGTTGTACCAGGATTTACAACAAAAAAAAAAAAAAAAAAATGAGTAGCCTCTTTGACTGTAGTGGCCCCCTCGGGCCTTGGGGAGGTGAATAATTTAAAAAAAACAAAAAAAAACAGCACAGTTCAGGGACAATGACATGGTTTTCAAAGTGAAAGGGGGGGGGGGTGAGCGCACTGCCTTAATTCGAAAAAATTGTAAGTTTTTAAAAAATAAGGAGGTCCACAAAAAAAGTGGGGGACCATGTACCCCCTGACCCCCACTGTCAGCTGCCTTGTAGTTTAAAGACGTTTCAGCACACTTACCGCTATTCTTTCAGATAAAAGACCTCGAACAAAGCATAGTACCATGCAAGCTCAGTTTTAGATATTTGGTGGCCCTAGGCATAGTTTATTATATAGTTGTTGATAATTCATGTATAATATTTTTTTTAAATCCATATTTCATCCACTCACATTTTATAAAAAATGATTTTTTTTTCATATTTTCAAAATATAAATCAACTTATTTAACACTTTAGATTTGCTTAACTTTATAGCGTACAGCTTTTCAAGAAAAAAAAGAAAATAACAAAGAATAATGAAAGAAAAGATTGCTGCCTGATGCCAAATACTCAGTCAATATAGTGGCACTTTTTTGCAGCAGCAGGCTATAAGATACTCTATGTATGAACTTAAACCTCAGACTCTTTCAGTGTAGTGTGATGATCTTTCAGTGTAGCTGATGCTGACCTCAATCTTTTAGAGGTATGCATCAGGTCGGCAAAAAAAATTTGATACAAAGGTCTCACTATAAAACATGGACTGAGGGTTTTATATATATATATATATATATATATATATATATATATATATATATATATATATATATATATATATATATGTATGTATGTATGTATGTATGTATGTATGTATGTATGTATGTATGTATAACATATTTGGACCTGCTTTTGCAGCCAACCTCTAACTATTATCACATCCTGGTAATGTTGCTTCTCTTTTGCTTTTCTACAAATACTATAATGGGCACTGCTCTAAAAAGCTAGTGTCTCTTATGTCATCTACTAAAATTCATTTTGGTGTTTATCATCAATCAATTAAGTCATTCTTTTACTGTTAGAAGTGAAGATATTAATATATATATATATAAATATATTTTATTTTTAATTTTTCTTTTTTTTTTTTTTTTTTTTTTTTTTTTTGTTGTTGTTGTAAATCGTGGTACAACCCTCTCTCAACTCTTTAACTCCGAAACACGAACCTTGACAAGCAAGAAAGAAATTAAGTTAAGCGCAGTACTTCCAGGGACGTGGTGGGAGTCGAACTCCGAACCGCTCGCTTACAAAGCGAGCGCTCTTACCACTACACCACTACCGCATAATATACATCAATGATCTTCCAAGTCAACTTCAAAATCAATTGAAAAAGATATAGGCATATTAATCTCGAATGACTTAAAATGGGAACCACAAATAAAAATTGCATCATCTATTGCAAACTATACATTTGGTATAATATACAAATCATTTAAGTATAAAAATAGTGAACTAATAAAATTGTTGTATTGTAGTTATATACGGCCGCATTTAGAATTTGTAATACAGGTATGGAGTCCTTATCTTGAAAATAATATAAATATATTAGAAAAAATTCAAAAACAAGTAACGAAATCTGTACCTGAGCTTCATCATCTATCATATAGTGAAAGACTAGAAAAAATGAAATTAACATCAAACAACGAAGAACACGAGGAGATCTCATACAAATGTATAAATGGTATTATGATATAGAGAAAATAACTTGGAAAATACCCCCTCAACATTCATACTCTTTAAATTCTTTTGGTCCGTGTTCAAACATTCGAGGTAATTAACATAATTTATTCACCGATAAGAAATATTTAAATCGAAATCGTTAGGGTTTTTTTACAAATTGCACAGTCAGGTTCTGGAACAATTTACCAATTAAAACAGTGGAAGTTAAAAATCTCAACTTATTTAAAGCTAAACTAGACTTAATTGACTATCTTTAACTTTCTTGTTATGTCTGTAAAAGATTTAACATAGCGTTAAATCTCAACAGTATTGTATATTATTACTATTATTATTATTGTTATTATTATATATATATATATATATATATATATATATATATATATATATATATATATATATATATATATATATATATATATATATATATATATATATATATATATATATATATAATGTAATCTCAATTATAATTTAATGTCAATATATACTATTATTATTATTATATATATATATATATATATATATATATATATATATATATATATATATATATATATATATATATATATATATATATATATAATGTAATCTCAATTATAATTTAATGTCTATATATACTATTATTATATATATATATATATATATATATATATATATATATATATATATATATATATATATATATAATGTAATCTCAATTATAATTTAATGTCAATATATTAAACTTGTATAAGAATTTGTAAATTAATTTTTTTTCTTAAAAGGACCGTGGAAGCTTGATTTCAGAATGGGTAATACCTTATCAAGATATTGAAGTTGGCACACTAATTGGCACTGGAAGAGTAGGAAAAGTGTACAAGTAGGTATTGATTAAAACTTGATTTTTATAAGTAGTTTTTTTATTAAAGTTATGTTTTAATATTTAAAGGTTATTTATTGTTACAAATCTATTATTTATAAAGTATATATTTATAAAATATATATTTATTTACAGAATTTATAATTAAAAACTAATTAGAAACTTATAAAGCAATTATTTAATTAATTATTTATTAATTAAATAATTAGGAACTTATAAAACAAAAATTATAGTTAAAAATTACCTAATTGATAATTAAGAAGTTACCTAATTTAATTCCATAGCTCCTACATTGTTATTGTTGAAATATATTATTCTTGTACTTTGAATTTGGAAAGATTTATTTTAACTCTACAATGTTTTGAAGCATAGTTCCACATAAGTTTCAGCTTCATGGTTTCATTTCAGAAAAAATTTTGAGTTAAAGTCAAAGTTTTACATTATGAAATTTACTTTATATGTAAATATATAAAATTAGTTATTAGAAAAAAGGATTTTTTCTATCCTCTTTTAAAAGGGTATATATAATATTGTTGTAGTGGTAGTATCCTAGCTTCATAAGCAAGTAGTTCAAAATTTTTATCCCCTCATGTCTTTGAAGATGCAGAAACAAACATTTTCCCTCGTTAAGTGACCAGTGACCTTTTTTGTCATTATTTGATTTTTAAAGTTATACATTTTTTTTGTTTTTTTTTCTTATTAAGGTGCTCCAAGAAAAACTTTCTTATCACAGAGCACCCCTAAAAAAACCTAACTTTCTTATCACATAAAAAAAATACCCCTAAAAAGCATTTAACTAAAAAGTTCCAGCCTCCTCCTCCTTGATCATGCTGACATGTGTGTGTCTGCAAAGTTACTACATTGTGACGTCAGGCGTCACAATAAAATAGTGACGTGTTATATAACATGCATTCATAGTTATATATATAAATATAAATATATATATAGGGTTATAACCACAATTAAGTAGCCTCCTTGTCTAGCCTTCTTGGCCTTGGGGAGGTGAATTATCAACAAACAAACAAAAAAGAAGTATATATATATATATATATATATATATATATATATATATATAATATATATATATATATATATATACGCACACACTCTTGCATGAAACTGACATTTTCTTTGCAAGAAACTGACATTTTACCTAAAACTGACATTTTATGGTAAAAACTTTAAGACGACCTGTCTTTAAGTTTTCACCATAAAAAGTCAGTTTTAGGTTGTTTTTTTTTTTAATTTTAAAGACCGTTTTTTAATTTTTTTAATTATTTGATAGACAGACTGCTCTCACCCAAATCTGTCTATGTAGTAGCACTCCATTGTGAGTTAGGCTTTTTTTCAGTCGATGTAGCAGCACTCCGTTGTGAGTCAGGGTATAAGATAGTTGATGTAGCAACACTTTGCGCATGTTTTACAGCTAAAAAATAAAAATAAAAACATTCAGAATGTTTTTATTTTTTAAAAATAAAATAAAAACATTCAGAATATAAACATATGTTTGGACTTTTCTCCATGTCTGGAAGTTAGCTATCTCAAAGACTAAAAAATGCTGGATTGGCCCCTGGACCAGAGCTAGAAGATAAATTTAATCTTATCACCAAGCCCCCAAAACATAAAAACTTGATTGTAACTGAATATTTTGAAATGATAAATATATTTTTAATGTTGGCTGTAATTATTCCTTATTGTTTTATATAGGAATATTTATTATAAAAAATTATTTTAATTAGCAATTAAAACCTTTTAACTAGTTAGAAATTGAAACCTTACTTAATTAACATTAAGCTGTTACAAGGGCTCCAATTTATTATGTTAAAAAAAGTGTAACTTAGTATTGGACTTGAATAGCTTAGTTTGAACTTATTGAAAAGTACACATTTTCTAAATAAAATGTGTATTTATTCTTATCAGCTTGTTAATAATAAATTTTAGTTTTAATAGATTTTTATTAAAAGTCAAATAAAAGTTAGTAAAGTAAAATTAAGCAAAATAATGTTAAACTGTTATTTATTATTATTAATAAAAATATTATTAATAATATTTATATATATATATATATTAATATATATATATATATATATATATATATATATATATATATATATATATATATATATATATATATATATATATATATTAATAATATTATTATATAAAAATATTATATTATTATTATTAATAAAAATATAAAATACTTTAAAAACTTTACTAACTACAAAAAAAAGTTATCTGGCATCTAAAAATAACTATAAATTGGTTGTTTAAATTTATTAACCACAATGTATGTGGTTCAATTTGTGACTTAAGAATCTTTAAAACTATACATTTTTATTTTTGGTAATTAGAATTTTTCTAATTTAAAAGTGAAATAAATGTTTTTTTGTTCTTTATTTTTTTTAAATAACTAATAATATTCAGAAATATGAGCAACATGGTGTAAAAAATATATTGAATCAAAACCTATCTTCATTGAGTTCAAAAGAAACGGTTGCACTTTTTTGATAGTAAACAAAAACAAATACTTAATAGTGTAATAGTATTTCAATATATTTATTATATTAACTTGACTTGCTTTTTTATACAACATTTTAAGAAATGTTATAAAAAATAAAAAAAAACTTTCAATTAAATTTTAAACTATAATTTAAACTTACTTTTTTGATTATTAAAAAAGAAAGCATTTTTTTACAATATGCTTTAATAGTAATATATTACAAGTTTTTTTAATAGTAATATAACACAAGTTTTGTTAGTATATAGACATTCGGTCAATATAACACAAGTTTTGTTAGTATATAGACATTCAGTCAATATACTAGTCTATATACTTAAATTACCACTCTACATACTTTATATATCTTTATACTTTATATATCATTATAGGTATTTTATAAACAAGTTTTGTATACCCTTCAGTCAGTATATTCCATTATATATTTATTATATAGTTTATATTCTTACCAATGTATATACCATTATATATACTTTAACTACCAGTCTATATACTTTAAATACCAGTCTTTATACTTGATATACCATTCTATTTACTTTAAATACCTACAAGTTTAATGCTTAAACAATCAAACGTTTTAATTCATTTAATAAGATGTTGTTTCTATATAATTATGTGTTATTTACTTTTATTGATGAAATTTTTTTTATACACAACTTAATAACAACATCTTTTTGATCTGGAGCTATTTTATTAACTTTTTCTGAGAAATAAAAAATGATAACTTTTGTTGCAACATCTTCAGTTTTAGTTATCAGTAAGTGAAATATTTTGAAATATCAGTAAATGATATATTTTATAGAAACAAACCTCTTTCCAAACATTTTATTTTGTTTGAATCAAAATATATTGATTTGTTTACCTTCTTAATGCATTAATAAAGCATTGTGGTGTTTAAAAACTGTTTTATAAAGCATTGTGGTGTTAGAAAACTGTTTTATAAAGCATTGTGGTGTTAAAATGTTGTTTGTTTTTGTTTGTCATTTTGTGGATATTTTTGCTAAAAAAGATAACAAACAGTTTTTAATATAACAAGTTGGAAGAAAAACAATCAATTATAAGTTTGCAAAGGTTTTAAATAATCTTTTAAAAATTTGCGCTGTTACAATGTTTAAAACATATTTGTTTGTTTTATTTAATATTTTTGTCTATGCTTTTAATTATAATATAAAAATTTTTTTTTTGATAATTAAAAGTTGCGTTTTACCTGACATAGCCGTCAAACAGGTTGATCCCTTGCTTGACATTCGCATCACTTCAGCTTCTGTATCTAAAGTAATTTCCTGCTTAGACTCTTCAACAGCTTGTGGTCCTGACAACATTCCTGTTGTAGTTTTGCAGAGGTGTTCTCCGGAGCTTTCATCCATACTTTCTAAACTATTTAACAAGTGCTTATCAGAGTCTTGTTTTCCATCATGCTGGAAAGCAGCATCTGTTATCCCTATTTTCAAAAATTCCGGAGAGCGATCTGATTCATCTAACTACCGTCCCATTAGTCTTCTTCCTGTCATAAGCAAGGTTTTTGAATCTTTGATCAACAAACACTTAATCTCTCATCTTGAGTCAAATAACTTACTTTCTGATCATCAATATGGATTTTGGTCTTCTCGTTCTACAGCTGATGTGCTAACAGTAATAACCGATAGGTTTTACCGTGCATTAGATAGAGGTGGAGAGGTTAAGGCTATCGCACTTGACATTTCTAAAGCTTTTGATAAAGTTTGGCATGCTGGTCTTCTCCATAAGCTTTCTTCTTATGGTGTAGCTGGTAACGTCTTTAAGATTATTGAGTCCTTTCTTTCCAATCGTAGTATAAAAGTTGTCCTCGATGGACAAAACTCTTCTTCACATCCTGTAACTTCAGGGGTTCCTCAAGGTTCAATCCTTGGCCCTATACTCTTTTTAATTTACATTAACGATCTTCCAGATATTCTCACATCTAAGGTGGCATTATTCGCTGACGACACTACCATTTACTCTTGTCATGATAAGAAGCCTACACTCTCTGATTGCTTGGAGGGGGTATCTGAGCTTGAAAAGGATCTCACTTCTGCTACAGCATGGGGCTCACAGTGGCTAGTGAACTTTAATTCAGATAAAACTCAATTTTATTTGGCCAATCGTTATCGTAATAATTTAGATCTTCCTATATTTATGAATGGTAATGTACTAGATGAGTCATCTACCATTCATCTTCTAGGATTAACTCTTACTTCTGATCTTTCTTTTAAACCGTATATCAAATCTATTGCAAAATTAGCATCTGCTAAGGTTGCATCTCTTTATCGAGCTCGACACTTTCTTACTCCAGATTCTATTCTCTATCTCTATAAATCTCAAATCCGTCCCTGTATGGAATACTGTTGCCACATCTGGGGCGGATCTTCTAATGATGCTCTTTCTCTTTTAGACAAGGTGCAAAAACGAATTGTAAACATAGTTGGACCTGCTCTTGCAGCCAATCTCCAACCTTTGTCACATCGTCGTAATGTTGCTTCTCTTTCTCTTTTCTACAAATACTATAATGGGCACTGCTCTAAAGAGCTAGCGTCCCTTGTGCCATCTACTAAAATTCACTCTCGTGTTACTCGCCATTCAATTAAGTCTCATCCTTTTTCTGTGACTGTTCCTAAGTGCTTCAAAAACTCTTATTCTTCTAGTTTTTTTCCTCGAACATCAGTTCTTTGGAATTCGCTTCCTTCATCTTGCTTTCCTGATTCATATAATTTGCAATCTTTTAAGTCATCAGTCAATCGTTATCTTGCTCTACAGATTTAGTCTTTTCTCTTCCAGTAACTTCCAACTCTTATAGTGGTTGCTTGCAGCCTTGTTGGAAGTGAAGATGTTAAAAAAAAAAAAAAAAAAAAAAAAATTGGTGTTGACTTGAAACTTGCCCTGGCTTTTATTATCAAACCCAATCTGGCTCCAATCAACATATATCTGGCTCCAATCAACATATATCGGGCTATATATCAACAATTATGCGACCTTGACTGTGCTGTAATTTGTTTATCACTATATTTGCAATAAATTTTTCTTATTCAACTTTTTCCAAAAAAAATTAAATATGTTTATGTAAATACATTTCCAAACATGTTTCAAATTGTTTCTCCTGGCAGTGGCTTCTTGTTCTTGTTTTGCAGTTTAGGTTTGTACAGAGAGTTGCACATAAAATTTAAAAAGAAAAAAATAAGTAGCCTACTTGGCTGTAGTTGCCCCTTTTAGAAGGTGAGTTTAATTTAAAAAAAAACACGGAAAAAAGGCTTTATTTAATAAAAACAAATTAATAAACTTAATTGTTTTTATAATTAAATGAGTTTATTTGTCATGTGTTATTACATTATTTCAAAATCAACATCTCTGCACAACAGCCTTGTTTGTCAAGGCTGGTGTTTCAGAGTTAAAAGGGTAAAGAGTTGTAGCAGCAAATAAATAAAAAAGGTAAACAGGTAAACAAAACTCTATACTAATTTTTAGTATACCAATGAATAAGTAAATTTTTAAGTATAATTAAAAACATATTATCATGTGCATGTGCATAATGTGTATTTGTAAACAAATGAATCTAAAGGATTTAATAAAAAAATAAATGGTTAATTAAAAGAGAAAAAAAATAATTGTCACAGTAGACTTAAAACATCTTAAGCACAAGCAGTTATTACATTTATTATTCTTAAAAAATAATTCTTAAAAAATATATACAAATAGTTGTAGCATTAAAACAGCATTTATAAAATGATAAAAACACATCTTCTATGATTTTAAACTTAGTTTCAACGATGGTTTAATACATAGGCTAGCTCTGTTGTTTAATAAACTTGGTTTCAATGATAGTTTAATACATTGGCTAACTCTATTGTTTACTGTTTACTTGTAGAAACTTTAACTGCACAGAATAAAAAACATTAATCATAACATTTTTTTAAAATATCATAATCATCCCACTGTTGGATTGCAAGTAACAAATATAATAATCATGCCATTGTTGAATAGCAAATAATAAGCCGTGCTTTCAAAACCAGCAGGTTTAGTTACATTTTGGACTTTAACTTTAGCTTCAACAAGTATGAAAGAAATTAATTTTTATAGATAAATTTAGCACATAATTCAATCTCTTATTTAATTGAAGAAATCAGTAGTTCTATTCAGTTTTTCTGGGGGGGGGATAAGACATTTGTAAATAGAGTTTATGAGATTAGATAGATAAAGAAGACAGTTCTTTAAAACAAAATGGCCTAAAAACTTTTTTTTTTTTAAAAAGTAAATTAAAAGAAATACATCCCTCCATTTTGCTAACTTTTACTGAATTTACTTTCTAAGAAAAGAGGGGCTACTACAGTTAAAGAAAATTATTACAATTAAGAAAACTTTTTTTTTTTTAATGGTTGTTAAAATCCTCAAATTTCAACACTCTTCATAAAGAAGCCAGTTCGAACATCCTTATCTACATAACACAAACATTGAGAACACAATTATCTTCATCACACAAACATCAGCTGCTTCACAAAGAAACAAGAAAAGCATGGTACTACCGGAAACATTTTGGGAATTGAACTTTTCATCTAGCTCTACCACTACACCACAACCATTACACCTACTACCACTACACCTACTACCACTACACCACAACCACTACACCTACTACCACTCCACCATAAGATATTGACTTCTTAATTCATTGTTTTTTATGTCTTCTTACATTGCTTTTTGTTTATGTCTTTTTACATTGCTTTTTTGTTTATGTCTTCTTACATTCCTTTTTGTTTATGTCATTTTACATTGCTTTTTTGTTTATGTCTTCTTACATTGCTTTTTGTTTATGTCTTCTTACATTAGTTCAATATTTTTTATCTCTTCTTACATTGCTTTTTGCTTATGTCTTCTTACATTGCTTTTTTTTTAATATCTTCTTACATTGTTTTTTGTTTATGTTTTCTTACATTAGTTTATTGCTTTTTGTTTATGTCTTCTTACATTGCTTTTTGTTTGTCTTCTTACATTAGTTCATTGCTTTTTGTTTATGTCTTCTTACATTAGTTCATTGATTTGTGTTTATGTCTTCTTACATTGCTTTTTGTTTATGTCTTCTTACATTAAAAGCTATATGTATGAGTTGCATAATTAATTTTTTTATGAGTTGCATAACTAATTTATCCTTGTTTGAACCAAGTTCAAACAAGGATAGTACAATATAATATACTATTATACTTTAGGTTATTTATTACTATAGTAACAAAATATTTAATAATTATTCAAGTCTAAAAAAAAATTCATTAAAATTAAAATATTTGTAAAAAAGTTTTTTTTCTTATATGTATTTGTATATATATATACAAATACATATAGGAAATATGTTTTAATAAAAGCATTTGAAAGTATCAAATAATTTGCTTTTTTTTTTATTGTTTTTTACAACTGCTTTTTCTCTGCCTTTTGCTCATTATTTTATGATTCTGAAATCTTCGTTCTTTGCCTGATTCTGTTCTCTACCTTAACAACTCTAAAGTTCTTTTATAGAGCACTGCTGTTATATCTGGGCTGATTTTTATTATGTCTTTTTCTTGAGTCAAGATTCGTTGTAATCATTGTTTTACTTAAAAACTGATATTTTAAGTCCAACGATAGTTTTGTTTAATTGTATAATTTACCCTTTTTTTAGATGAAAAATGTCTTATCATTGTAAGATTGGAACTCTTTTTTTCTGCAAATACTCTCAATATTGCAGTTTTTTTTCATTATTTTTTAAACAAAATAAACTTAAGTATGTTGTTTTAGAGCCAAATGGCATGGAGAAGTTGCATTAAAGATCTTGTATCTTGAGAATCCATCTATTGAAGAGAAAAATGACTTTAAGTACAAGGTAAAAAAATAAAAAATTTTAGTTTCACAGACCTTGATCTTATTCAATTTTCTGCAGGGGCATATTACTATGTGGAACTCTCAAATGATCTTTTTTCCTTTGTTGTTTTGAAGTTTTTTTGTTTAAACAAAAAAAATTGTTTTACACAAATTTAATGTTACAGTCAAAAAATTTCTTTCAAGTAAAACTATAAAGAAAAAAGTTAAGAACAAATTTTTTTTTTTTTTTTTTTTTTGATATAGTTGTCTCACTTTCACAATTGTTATTATGTACATTTATATACATATACTATATTTTATATATATATACATACATGCATATACTATATTTCATATATATACATACATGCATATACTATATTTCATATATACATATACTTATTATATCAAAATTAAAATTAACATTATCTTTTTAGTCAAATAATTTCTAATAATTTTATTAAATGGAACTATAAAAGTTAAAAATTTAATTGTTTTTTAGTCTATATATAGTATGAAATATATATAGTATGAAATATTATAAATATATTATTTAATATAACCGTTAGTATTATACATTATCCAAAATACAAATATAATAATTAAGTCAACCTTTAACAATAATAATTTAACAACTACTAGTTTAGATCACTTGTTTACTAAAGTTTGGTTATATATAATATAATAAATAATGTGGGCATTATACGAATAATATGCCCATATATAAATATATGGGTGATTCCATATAAAATGCAACCCTGAATCTCTGATTTTGCAGATTTTTACACCACTCAAATATTTTAATAAGTTATGAACATCCCCAAAATTTCATCATTTTATTCCAAACGGTATAGAAAATGTAACCATTTTAACTTTGCCTTGAACCGCTATTTGAAAAATGGTTATGGTCTTTGTTTCTGTTCTGTGTGCAATAAAAAGCTAAAAAAATGTACACATGTTTTTGAGGCAAGGAATCCAATAAAACAACTTAAAACATTTAAAAATAAACATAGCAAGTGTAATTTTGACCTTTATTGCAATTTTACTGAGGCCAATTTAATTACAAAAATGCTGACGTAGCTCGTCTTTTTTTTTTTAATAGTTTAGTTAGAGCTATTACAAAGAATTGAAAAGTGGTTTTTTCTTAAACGAAAAAAAAAAAAGAACCATGGTCAAATTTACTTAAATTTGTTACTTATAAAACAAGAATTATAAAAAATCAAAGGAAAAGGAAAACTGATGTTTATTCATTGTTATTCAAAAAATTGATGTTTATTCATTGTTGGAAAATTTTCCCACCCACCCTGAGCTTATTAAGATCCCCTCCTCCCATTTATAATTTTACTTGTTATGAACAAAGAAACCGTATCTCAAAATTAAAAAAAAAAAACTTTTTAATTATATTTTTCTAGTTTTTGAGACTTGAAAATTTTTGAGGTTTAAAAATTAGAAAATATTAACTCACTTATAGAAATAATAAAAATTCCCACTCAGCTGTTTATTAGAAACCCCCTTTCCTTCACCATATCTTCCCATTTATTACATCTGCACAAAAATTCCCACCCATGCTTTTATTCTCACCCCACCTTGTACTGTCATATAAAAACCAAAGCAATTGTTTTAAATAACTTACTTTTTTAAATGAATCATCCTTATCATTATAAGTATTAATAGGTATTAATTCTTCAATATTTGTCTCTTTGTCATGGTCTGTGGCATTTGTCTAGTTGAAAAATAACTTGATTGAATTATCTTTTGCAAGTCAGTTTTCTTTATTTTATCCTTTGAATAAATAAAATCATACAATTTTCATATCAGTTTTTTAAGAAGTTTTGAGCAGCTTAGGCAGACTAGGTTAAATAAAATTACTAAAGAAATATTGTTTAATATGAATTTTAAATATTATAATCATCCAAAAGGTATTTAATATCATTTTCAAAAGTATATATATATACAGTGATGGCAGCATAAATAGTACACTTTCATGACCAGTTTGTTTTACTTTTTGATACTAAAAGGTACAACCATTAATCTGTGCTATTTACTCTATTGCCACTTTATATAAATTTGAGTAATATAAAAAATACATTTATATTTGTTGTAGTTAGTTGGATTTATTGCCTGTTTTATACATGAAAGGTGAGTAGTTATTGTTTTACATTACATGGTTTAGAGGGCAATTTTTATAACCAGTCTTTTTGTTATATACTGGACACATTGCAATACTTTTGTACTATAATTTTTTTGATTGTTGACAAGGTCTTTAAATACCTTTTCACGCCTATCTACTATTTGATTGGAAATATAAGTTGATGTGCTTCGTAAATAGAATTTTCATCAATAAACCACTAATTGGGCTAGAATTGGTAGCAGTATTGTTTAGAATTAGTAGCAGTATTGTTTAGAAGAACAGTCTGATTATTTTTAACACTGTGTTTTCAAAAATACTCAGGTTTAAATATGATAGAGATGTTTATTAAATTTTAAATATGATAGAGATGTTTATTAAGTTTTAAATATGATAGAGATGTTTATTATATTTTAAATATTTTTTTTTTTTTTTTTTTTATTTTAATTCACCTCCTCAAGGCCGAGAAGGCCACTACAGACGAGGAGGCTACTTATTTGTGGTTATAACCCTCTCTCAACTCTATAACTCCGAAACACGAACCTTGACGAGCAAGGCCGCTGCGCGGAGAAACGAGTTGAGCGCGGTACTACCAGGGACGTGGTGGGGATCGAACTTGGAACCACTCGTTTATGAAGCGAGCGCTCTACCACTACACCACTACCGCATTTTAATATGATAGAATATGATAGAGACGTTCATTAAATTTTAAATATGATAGAGATACTCAAGTTCATTAAATTATCTAATTATTTAACCAGGTAAGTTTTTTGTTTTAGATATTTGAGTGGTCTGATTAAGTTTGCAAGTTTATTTTGAAAATGTAACTAGATGAATTGCTTCAGATTTAGACAAATATTTTTTTGGATAACTGTGTTCTTTACATAATATGTCCGCCTCCAATATGCTTGCCTCTCAACATCTTATTTACACCCTACATACACCCTATACCCTCTTCATACTTTATCAGCATGCTTCCTTTAAAGCAGTTTTCTGCTATTGATTTTTAAGGTAAGTTGTTTTTAATAGGATATTTTTGTTTTTTCATTAATTTAATTAGTTTTTTTGATCTTGGTTCTGTCTAATCGATTTCCAGATAAATGAATGATTTTTTCATTTAAGTTAAATAAAATTTGTGATAAATTCATTTTTCAATAAATTTTTTTTTCAAGATAGGTATGCTTGCCCCTTTTTTTTAATCACTTAAAGGTAGAACATCTAATGACACAGAAATATCAAAGAGATTGTTCAAATTTATTTTTTCAGATTTTACTTGACACTTGCTTTAGTGTGCTTGTTTCTTTTTTTTTTTTTTTTTTAAAAAGTACATTCATATATATTCATGTTCTCAAGTTTACTTAAATTAGATAATTATAGTACAATACTATATAACAATTATCATTAAATTATATTATATTGTTATAAACATCGTTATAAGTATTTTTTTAAATTTAAACACTTGTAAAAATTTTGTTTAATATCTAATAAATAATAATGCATTATTTTTTAAAAGATTTGATAAAGAAAAAAAGATTTATTAATCTCTAAATTAAAATAATTACTTAAAATTAGAATATTTACAAATCAACTAAAAAATAAAATAACACTTGCTTTGTAAAATTTTATTGACTTTTTTTATAAACTAACAAAATGCACTAAATTTGATGGGCAGCTTGATTACAACAAATGTTATATTGGTTCATTTATTTTTGCGAAACAAAGTAGTTGCAACAACAAGTTGTAAACTAGATTTTAATTGTTACTTGTTTTAATGCATGTTATTATTATTGCATTATTATTATTATTAGGTATTATTACATATATTAGATACATTTAAATTTAAAGATAGCATTATTAAAATAATTTTAAAATTTTTTTGTTCAATACTTTTAACAAGTATTATTTTTATTAATTTGATATTTAAAATATTTTATTTGGGAATATATATTTTATATATATTTTTGAGTAATATATATATTTTTTTCTTTCTACTTTACGTAAGGTTCAAGTTTTGCGAAGAACACGACATGAAAATCTTATATTATTTATGGGTGCTTGCATGGAGCCACCAACTCTTGCTATAGTTTGTTCGTATGTTTATGATTTTTTATATGTACATATGATTGTATGTGTCTATGTATATGTAAATATATATATATATATATATATATATATATATATATATATATATATATATATATATATATATATATATATATATATATATATACATTGCATACTTAGCTGAGCATTATGACATCACACTGAAATATATTAGTTCATATATTGAGGGGCTGAGTACATATATTGAGGGGGCTTAAGTACATTGTGCTTAAGTACAGGGTGCTTAAGTTGACAGACTTGATAAGGAGAACATGCTGCTTATGAAATGGCACTGATGATGTTGTAATAAAATTATTATCTGCAGGTGCAGGGCTCAAATTAGGTCGCGATTGCAAATTGTGATTTTCACACCTTCGCTATTAGTTTTTCTTATAAAAAAAATTATTTTAAAAATATTTTTGTGATTTGTTTGTTTTGTTTGTTTGTTTTTTTTTTTTTGTTTTGTTTTTCTTTTACTTTTCTAGTTTAGCATTTTTTTGACCATTTTAAAAGGAATGTTTTTTTCTAAGTTTTGATTAGGGGTCATAAAGTACGTCATGCTAAATTTATCTTTTGAAAAAAATTATGATCACTTATAATCAGTTTCTTGCACGGAGATTTGCGTTCAACATAAATCACTTTTAAATTTAAATTATTTTAAATCTCTGCGTAGAAGTCAATAATATTTTTAAGTTATATTTACTTTGATTTACTTAATGAATAAAAGTACATCACAGTAAATTTACCTTAAAAGTTAAGTTACTCAACTAATTATTATATTTAATTTATCAAAGATTTGCAAAGGTTAGCCATACAAATGTGTTTATTTGTATCTTAGATGTTGTTGACACATAATTTTACCTAAAAATTATAAATATGAAAAATGCGATACTATTTTTTTATATTTTCATTTTATTTAAAGCAATATCTAGGTTAAACATTTTCTATAAATATGCAAGTTGTTTTTATAAATATGCAAATTGTTTTTATAAATATGCAAGTTGTTTTTATAAATATGCAAGTTGTTTTTATAAATATGCAAGTTGTTTTTATAAATATGCAAGTTGTTTTTAGGATTTTTTTTTAAAGAAAATTATTTGAACAAAAGAATTTTAGTCTTCTAATTCTTAAACAAAAGAATTTTAGTCTTCTAAAATTCTTTTGTTTTTTATTCAAATAATTTTGCAATTGAAATTTGAAATTAAAAAAAAAATTTAAACTCTCAGTAATTATAAATTTTAATTACAACAACGTCCATAATACCCAGTGGCATAACAAATAGCATTTCTGAAAGTTAAATATAAATCTAGCTACAGTAACAATATTAGATTTAGAACATAGTGCAAGGGAGAAAGAAAGTTTTAAGTCGTAAACATTTTGAGTTTTTAGTTAATCATTATTTTTAATATAGTTTTCATAATAAATAGTTATAAGTTTTCTAGTTAATTATTTTTTGTTTTTTGAAAATAGTTTTTAAAGTATAAACTTTCAATTGCAAACATTAAACCAGTTATTATTGCAAACATTAAACCAAAGATAAAATTAAAAAAGTAAAGTATTTTATTAAATGTTTGTTCAAAGAATTTTTTTTTCAAAACAATAACTTAAGCATATACTTAAAGAAAGATAATTTGATTTATTAAACTTAGTTTCTCTCTTACTTTTTATTTCATAATAATTTGAACAAAAAAATTTTAATGAAAATTTCAACTTAAAAACAATTTATATTAAAAAATTATTCTTAAATTAAAGTATGCTAGATCAATAAATTAGAAAAAATGTGATATCTTATGTTTTTTTGCTTTGATCTTACTTGTTTGATCTTACTTGTTTGGTCTTACTTGTTTGATCTTACTTGTTTGGTCTTACTTGTTTGGTCTTACTTGTTTGGTCTTACTTGTTTGATCTTACTTGTTTGATCTTACTTGTTTGGACTTACTTGTTTGGTCTTACTTGTTTGATCTTACATGTTTGATCTTACTTGTTTGATCTAACTTGTTTGATCTTACTTGTTTGGTCTTACTTGTTTGGTCTTACTTGTTTGATCTTACTTGTTTGGTCTTACTTGTTTGGTCTTACTTGTTTGGTCTTACTTGTTTGATCTTACTTGTTTGATCTTACTTGTTTGATCTTACTTGTTTGGTCTTACTTGTTTGATCTTACTTGTTTGATCTTACTTGTTTGGTCTTACTTGTTTGGTCTTACTTGTTTGGTCTTACTTGTTTGATCTTACTTGTTTGGTCTTACTTGTTTGGTCTTACTTGTTTGATCTTACTTGTTTGGTCTTACTTGTTTGGTCTTACTTGTTTGATCTTACATGTTTGATCTTACTTGTTTGATCTAACTTGTTTGATCTTACTTGTTTGGTCTTACTTGTTTGGTCTTACTTGTTTGATCTTACTTGTTTGGTCTTACTTGTTTGGTCTTACTTGTTTGGTCTTACTTGTTTGGTCTTACTTGTTTGGTCTTACTTGTTTGATCTTACTTGTTTGATCTTACTTGTTTGATCTTACTTGTTTGGTCTTACTTGTTTGATCTTACTTGTTTGGTCTTACTTTTTTGGTCTATAAATATAGCATTTTTTTTTGCAAATGTGACTTTTGAAGTTTTATGATAATAATGTTTTAATTTATTAATTAATACAGATCTATTTATTTACTTCATTTTTTTTTTAACACTTTTTGCATAAATAATATTATTAACTGAATAAAACAGTTTTAGATTAACACAACTTGTGTTAATCTAAAATAATATAAAAAGCTTGTATTATAAGCTTGTTGTCAAAACAACTTACAAGCTTTTTATATTGTCAAAACAACTTTCAGTATTGTTTTATTGTTGTTTTACAAATAACAATTTAATAATCCTTAAAAATAACACAAGTTTTATTGTCAGCATGAATGTATTTAATAGTTTTCTTAAATAATTAAAATGGCTTAAATATTTTAATATTTGCATTGTTACTTAAACTTTTTTAAGTATCATGTTGAGTGAAAACAAATAATAAAAGTAATATCATAATAGTATTATATAACACCTCATAAATAAAATTTTGGACAAAATTTAAAAATTAATATTTTAAGAACCAATAAGTTTTATTATTTAATATTTCAACTGTTAACATGTTAGTATATGTAGTTTATAAATATATTAAAATAATTATTTCAAATACCATATTTAGCAATATTATAATGTTTTTTTGAAAGATGTTTTATTTGAGTAAAGAAAATTTCTTTATTCATCTTTGTATAGCAATATCTAATTCTTGGTTCCAGCTCTCCGATTATTCTCATACACTAGCCGTTTTAAATCACCCCAAAAGTTTTCAATTGGTCTTGCTTCTGGAACATTAGCTGGGTTTTATATCTTTGGGTACAACTTTGATTTTTTTCAATTTTAAAAAGTCGATGACCAACTTTGCATAATGTGATCGAGCTAGATCAGGCCAGAAGATAAACTCATTGTCTTTTTTATAATATTCTGATACTAGAGGAAGTAAATTTTTTTTCTAGTATCTCTTTATAAGTGTACTGGTTGATTGCCTGCTTACTGTGATGAATATAAAGAGGGCTTATTCCACGGGGGCTGATGCAACAAGAAACTAAGAGCTTGTCCTCGTACTTTTTACGCAAATTGTATCTTACTTCGTCAGAACATTGAGAAGGATCAGCGGCATAAAACCTATCATTACCAGCTAATGTGCAATTGTTTAAGGTAAAATAGCTTTCATCATCCATATTAAAATCCAAGTTTTTATAATTTTCATACAATTTACGACATTAAGGACACATAGCATTTTTTTTCACATTTTGTTTTTAATACTTGGGAAATTCCAGTTTGACTACACTTAAAAACTTGAGCTTCTTTTTGGAGCACCCTGACTTATTTTCAAAAAATGCAGCAATCTTTGGAATATTTTCTTTAGTAGCTGCCTTAGCGATTCGAACACTTCGTACTTTTTTTTTAGAGATCCATTCTCCAATCAATTTCTGACTTCGATTCCAATTGCTGAAATTTTCAGAGTACAACTCCAACTCTGACTCCAAAGCAAAATATTTTTTAAATTCTTTGAATTCTTTGAAAAATATTACGCAAAAAGTTAAAAAAAGTTTTTTGGCCAAATTTATGAAAATTTCTTTGAGGTTTAGTATGAATATAAGGTTTATTGAATATTTTGTACATACACATGCAATACTCGGTATTACATGTGTATGTACAAAATATTCAATAAGTTTTATATTGGAGTCAGAGTCGCAATTTTGTATAGCGACTCCGACTCCGCTAAAAATGTCACGACTTCAACTCCACAGCCCTGATTATAACAGTAACTTATGCTATTTTAAAATCTGCCAAACAAGAAAATTATAAGATATTTAAATATGAGAGATATTATGTTAAAAAAAAATAACAATTACAAACTAATGTACAAAAGATACTATTTTATACTAATAGAACCCCCCCTTTACCACAAAGCAGCACCTGGAATAAGGTAGGAGTTAAAAAAATTTTTTAGTTTGAGATTAGATTTTTTTGCGTTAATTCAAACCCCAAGGTGTTTCTAAAACTTGGAAATTTCTTTGAAATAGTATCTATCCTTTGTTTACTTTTATAATAGCAGCTATGTGCATCTTTCCAATCATTTTTTGTTATAATTTTATTGATGTTTGATTTTTTTTTAGTTTTTTCATGACAATTAGTTAATAGCCATTATGATATTTAACACAAATAATATTTAGATTATTTTTCTGTATAAAGAAGCAGGAAAAATAAGAGGAATACATGAATTATTACAGTAAAATAATTCTCAAAATTGACAAAAAGATAGTGAATCTCTTTCTGATCAAGAGATCAAAATAAGTGTTTAAATTAATGTTATGCTAGTTTCAACTAAAACAAACTTCAATTTTTGAGAAAATTTATTAGAATCTAAGTGAATCTTAGCGATGTGTGAAGTGTACGAAGGCAAAAAAAAATTTTTTATACTTTTTTTATACTTTTTTTTTGAAAAGGTCTCTGTATTTTAAAATTTATAGTATATTAAATCAATAAAATATATTAAAATCAAAAAATGTTAAATCTTAAATCTGTAAAAGTGTATATATATATATATATATATATATATATATATATATATATATATATATATATATATGTGTGTGTGTGTGTGTGTGTGTGTGTGTGTGTATATATATATATATATATATGTGTGTGTGTGTGTGTATATATATATATATATATATATATATATATGTGTGTGTGTGTGTGTGTGTGTATATATATATATATATATATATATATATATATATATATATATATATATATATATATATATATATATATATATATATATATATATATATGTATATATATATATATATATATATATATATATATATATATATATATACATATATTGTGTTATTTGATAAAGAATATTGTTGTTTTCTTACAGATTGCGTGAGCTCCATATTTTAATGTAGCCATTGCGTCGCTTACATTTTAAAGATTAGACAAGAATCTTCAGTTAAAAACTTAACGTTATTAGAAAAACAAGTTGGTTAAAAGTTAAGTTAAAAATGGAAAATTAAACCATTATAAGCATATTTTATTGTTTTACTTCAGAAAGGGAAAAAATTAAGTAAAGTTAATGATGAGGACTACCATACTAAACCCCAGTGTAATGTACAAAATGTACCACATACTGGTCATCCAACAACTACTACTTACAACAAAAAAAAAGGTTACTTAAAACTAACTGGTGTATAACTACCTAAGAAGTAGCAAAGAAGCTTGAAATATCTCAATTATTTACATAAAACAGCTTGGTTATGTAAACAAACTGGATTCTTAAATTCCTTATGAATTAAAGAATATCCACCTCACCAAACACATTAACATATGCGATTCTTTGCTGAATTGTACCTAAAACAATTTATTTCTAAAAAGAATTTTGTAGAATGATGAAGAATGGTATGTTAACAATAATGTAGTCTGAAAGTGATCATGTACCAAGCAAAATGAGCCTCCACAATCAACACCTGAAGTCAATATTCACCAAAAGAAGGTTATGCTTTGTGTGGAGTGGGATTAAAAGGGTATAGTTTACTTTGACCTGCTTACAAGTAACCAAACTATTCATATGATTGTCTACTGTTGTCAAATATCAAAATTGAATAAAGAAAGCTAGGAAAAATGCCCTGAACTGGCTGTGATGTTCCATTATGATAACACCAGACCCCAGACCTTTTTTGATAACTCATCAAAATTTACCAGAGCTCAATTGCAAACTGATGCCACATCTACCCTATAGACCTGACTTAGCACTTTAGGCTTTTAAAATTGAGTCAGACCAGATTTTCGCTTCTAAAAACTAAGGAATAATTAAATATAAATTAAGTTAAAATTCATTTCAAAAATTATGAAAAAAAAATTATTTGTGTATGTATATATATATATATATATATATATATATATATATATATACACACACACACATATACATATATATATACACACACGCATATACATATATATATATATACACACACACACATACATATTTATATACATACATATATGTATATTTATATACATATATAAAAATATATATGTATATACACATACATATATATATATACATACATATACATACATACATACATATATACATACATACATACATACAAAGAATTACAAAGAAATGCATCATTAAAAATAAGTGTATGTAAACAAAAAATGTAAACAAAACTAAAACTTTCCAGCAATTAAATTTTTAGGAAATTAATTTTTTATTTTCTGCATTAAGTTAAAGTTTTCAAGCTAAAAAGGTGATTTTTTTTTTCCAACTTAAAAACAAAAATATTTGAAATTTCTTTTTGTTAACTGTCTATCTAACCCCAAATAAGTTCATCTAGTTATATGGCTTTTATGTAAAACTACTCTTTTTTTACTGGATCTAAACATGTCTAAAAAATTAATAAAATTAAAAAATAAATTATTTTTGTTTCATTATAAATGAAAATATGCAGGAAAATATTTTACACCAACACTCGTTATAAAAATTCATTAATTATAACTCACTCTAGTTTTTGTTTCATAATGAATTATATATTAAAAAAAATTAAATAGAAGTAAGAGAGAATCAGTAAGACTAGCAACATTCAAAATTTGCATATTTTAGCTTTATGGCCTACTCACGGTACTCTCGCTTGAAGCAATTGATTTTTCTTAAAAAAGTTGAAAATCATGGCCGCCTAGTATAAATACATATGTGAGTGTGTGTATATATATATATATATATATATATATATATATATATATATATATATGCCTATTTTTTCAGATTTGGTTAGCATTGTTCTAATAAATTTAGGATATGTTATGGTTAAAAATCCAAGCCTAAATCCAGACAGGTTTTTCAAAAAAAGAAGAAAGAAAATTAAAAGTTTTTTTGCTCCAATAAATATCTTATTTAGATATCTACCCAAAACAACAGTTGAAATTTGTACTGAAACCCTTACAGATGGCTATTATGATTTAGTATGATGTTATTAATGATGCTTTATGCAAGGCTGAGTACACAAAGGTGTTTGTATGCATGTGTATGTATATTTTTTTTCTCTTAAGCTTATGCAAAGGTTTTACACTACATCAGCACATTCATATTCGTGGTGACAAGTTTGATGATAATAGACTTATTTCTATTATCCAGCAAGCAGCAGAGGTCATTTTAGTAATATTTATTTGTTTTATGGATTCATAGTTTGCATTTTTATTTGTTTTTTTTTTTTTTATTCTTTGAAGGCTATGAGTTATCTTCATGCAAGAGGAATTGTTCACAGAGATTTAAAAACAAAAAATATTTTTCTTGAGCATAACAAGATTGTCATCACTGACTTTGGTCTGATTAGTGTTGCTGACATTAAAATTGCCAACAGTAACAGGTATTCTATAAGAACATTTTTTTTACTTTTTATTTGTGTACACTTTACAATTATATCCATTCCAATTATCCCGTGTGAGTTTTATTATCCCAAGCTGTATTATAGATAATACATATATTTTTATATGTTAATTCACCTCCTCAAGGCCATGAAGGCCATTACAGTACTTTAATAGTGGTTACAACCCTCTCTCAACTCTATAACTTTAGAATAGGAACTTCTCGACAAGGCGGCTGGACGGAGTCTTGTTCGTAATGCATAATACTGCTCCATGTTTTATTGTAGGATTCACTTTTCTAGGCAAAGACTAGGAGAAGATAACTCTGAATTAGGAGAGAATAACAAAGATTATTTTCAGACAAAAAAATAATCTCTAGCCTTTACTTAACCAAAAACCTCAAGACAGGCCCCTCAAGACTTATTCTTGAGGGATCTTGAGCTTGTCAAGGATCTTGAGGTTTTTGCTTAAGTAAAGGCTAGAATTTCATAGTAAAAATACTCATCCTAGGCAGATGTTACATAGATATGTTTTTTCCGGGAATTCCCGGAATTCCAGAAAATAACTTAAAACTCCTTTTATTTTTCCTGAAATTTCCAGATGTTTTTTGTTATTAATTTGAAAAAAACTATATAAAATTTTAAATACGACAATGTTTGCATTTAAACAAATGTTTTCTATAATTGCAATTTTCAAGTGAGATTTTGCCTCACTTGAATGGTGCAAAACAGTTAAAGAATCAGACAGTTAAAGAAACAGTTAAATTAATAATCATGCAAAAAAGTGCAGAAAAAGAAAAGCTGATAAATGTTTCGCAGCAAAAAGTTATAAGAATAAAAAGTATTAATTTTTGAACTGTTGTCTGACATTTTGTATTTAAAAAGTAAATAAATTATTACGCTTTGCAGATTGTTTACAGTAAAACTGAGATATTATAATTAATTTTAGAGAATTTTAAAGAAATATAATTATTCAGTAGTTTTTAGTTACTTTATTTATTCCTTTATCAACACTCCAGAATTTACCAACATACCTTGGCCAATTTGTTGGTTGTATAGTTTTCCAGGATTTTCTGGATTTTTTTATTAAAATAATTTTCAAAAACTCATCTATGATGTTAGCTGCATTTGGATACTGTCTTGTAGAAGACCTCTTACGGTAAGACCTAAAAGACCTCTTTGAGCAAAAATTTCTTATGACAAACCTCACATGTGATGAGGCACAACTTTTTAATTTTTATAAATTAATTTTACCATTTTGGATGTTTCTTTAATATACTCAATAAAAAATTCAATATTTAAAATTTCAAAAATTTGTAGAAAATGCAAAAGTAACATCTCATTCTATTCAACAAACAAACAGAACAATAATAACAAGGACTAAACAAATGAAATACCTCCAAATTATAAAATTATAAAGTTTCTTCTAAACAAGTTTGCAGTCATAATAATTAAAGTTTAATTTGTTTTTATTTGTTTTTGTTTTATTTTATTTTAAAGTAAAAAGTTGTTTAAAAGAAAAATAATTCTTTTAAAAGAATGATAGATAAATCTAGTTTATATAGTTTATCTAATATATCTTGTCTTATTTTTTTATCTTTATTGTTTGATTTATGTGCTTTTTTTTTTTTTTTTTTTTTTTTTTTCAGAACATAAGCAACAGTTTAAAGGGATCCCAAATTGTGTTCATGTTGTGACATGTTGTGTTCATATCAAAGAGAATGATAAAAAAAATGTTTAGGCTAAATTTTATTGATTACAACAAAAGAATAAGTGCATACCAAGAAATACTTTTTTATTTTAGTCAAAGCTTGCCTTCTCTATTTTGTAATAGGCCTTATATTTCTCATAATATACACTGCAATTTATAGATTTGATAATTTGCGTGTTTTATTCTCAAGAGTTTTAGTACATGGCGTTATTGATTTTTTTGATTTTTTGTTTGTTTAAAATTTAAACAAACAAAATAATCAATGATATCGTATACTCTAAAAAAAAAATGCGCTTGTAAATTATCAAGTCTGTAGATTGCGGCATATATTATGAAGACTATTTGGCCTATTACAAAATGGAGAAGGCAAGCTTCAACTAAAACAAAAAAGTTAGGTTTTCTTGGTAAGCATTTATTATTTTGTTTTAATCAAAAAAATTTCCCAAACCTTTTTTTATCATTCTCTTAGATATGAACACAACATTGAGTGCATTTCTTAAAGGTTTGGGAAACCTTTAATAAATGCACTCAATAGTTTTTAAGTTTTCAATAGTTTTTATTCTTGAAGAGGTATTAGACTAACTTACTTCAAAGTTAAACTCATTTACTTCAAGTATTTGACTCATTTACTTCAAAACAGTTTGGTATATTTTAACTATTATTTTGATAAAATATTCATAAGAAGTCTGGATTTATTATTCAGTTAAATAAAATAAAAATATTTTTTAATACAGAATGTTGTCTTTTAAATTAATAAACATTGGGCAATAAAAGTTTCCAATGATTGTTTAACATTCGCACACATTTGACACGGTAATGTTAATGAAATAAGTTTTTTTTAAAGAAATATAATTATTCAGTAGTTTTTAGTTACTTTATTTAGTTGCAGCATAATGTTAATTAGGTTATGTTACAAAAATTGAAAAAAGCAATAAAAGTTACAAAAGATGATAATTTTTTTTTTTTTTAAATTTTTTAATTAGTAGTACTTTTTTGTCTTTGAATTAAATCGAATTCCATTGATTTTTAGGTCTTTTTTTTATATGGTTCTTAATCAGCCTATAATTTTAACCAAAAACAAGCATTAAAAAGCGTAGAGACACAAAACGCTGACACAACGCTGGATCTGGATCTTTATGCTCCTGATATTTAATTTAAAATTCATGCAGAAATGTCTTGGCTTGCTTAAATTAAAATATAAGTTTTATAACATTTTTTTATTAATTCCTATTGGTGGTTTTGATGGCCTTTAAAATATAATGATGCAACTTGATGTAAAAAACTTTGAAGTAACTCTTTGTCCTGGTTTTCACCCTTGGTTTGTTTTAATATATCCATGGTGAAATTTAAAAATAACTTTTTTGAAAAATTTGAATTTTTTTGAGGATTCCTGCTTAACATGAGAATTTAGAATTTTAACACTGTTATAAAAAAACTTGCCTCAATGGTAAAATTCATTGAGCAAAGTGAATAATGTCTCTTTAATTCTTAAAGACATTTTGCTATACAGTAGCAAATATTTATGTTCTTTTAAGTATTTTACATCAAATTAATCTTATCGTATTTCTTATTACTACCTTAAAGTTTACTTTGGGTTTATTTTGTGATTATTTTTTAATGATTCTTGGGCTGAAATCTTTTGTTGTCTCTTTGCTAAAAATATAATCTTCTGAATTTAGGCAGGTATAGAAGGTTTTATTCCTTCTTATTGACTTTTAAATCAAGCGTTACTTTACCCCACTTTACCCTACTTTACCCCATAGTTTTTTCCTTTTTGTGCTGGTGCTACTTCAAATCATAATCATTTTTTTCATCTTTCCGCAAGAAACTCTCAGGAGAATAAGCATCTTTTTATTATTGAAAGAAAAATAATCTGACTATTCTCAGCTAATTCTTGTATTTTATCTCAGAAGGTTAGGTTCTAAATCTTGTATTTTATTTCAGAAGTTAGGTTCTAAATCTTGTAATTTATCTCAGTAGTTAGGTCAGTTAGGTTCTAAAGACTTTTTAAAAATCTTTAAAAGTGTCATTAATAAAAGTCTAATATAATAAAGTTTTATTGCAGGTTATAGCATATTTAATAAAGTTTGACAAATAATATATTGACTCTGGACAAAAAGGCATTTTACCTTATAAATTTAACATTTAATGCTGTTAAAAAAATTTCAAGAAAATAAAATAACAGCTTTTAATTTCACTTTTAAACATATAAAATAAAACAGTATAACAAGCAGTTTAGTTTTATTTTTATAATTAATGTTTATAATTATTATAAATTATGCTATTTTTATAATTAATGTTTTAAACAAATATTGGTGTGAAATAAACACCATTAAAGATTTAAACAATGTTGGTTGTGAAGTAAACATTCATAATAAAAGTGCTATTATTTTAGAATTTCCAAACTTTTTCTTTCTGTTAATAAAACTTATTTCTTTAATGATTTGCATTTTGAATGCATTTTGAAAAAATCTAATCAGCTGCATTAGTACTGTAGAGTTAAGAGTTTTATGACTGTGCTGTACAAATACAAACTGCTTACATATGCTGCAATGGTACAGTGGGGAATTTAATAATAATGGGGAATTTAATTAGCTGCAATAGTACAGGATTAGGGATAGCAAAAATCCAGGAAATTTTCAATCCCAGGATTTCGGGATTGAAAAATTAGTCCCCGAGAAATCCCAGGGTTGAATAGAAAAAACGCAATTGAATACTTTTTAAGTACTCATCAAACACTTAAAAATGATTATTGTAATAATAGTATAACTAAATTATTTAATACATTAATGAACCTAAAATTAAGTTGAAAACATGTTTTAACTTAATTTTCTTATATTAAAACTTGTCTAAGACTTTTGAAAATTAATGAACCTAAGTACTTTAGTTACTAAGTAAGTAACCTAAGTACTTTAGTTACTAAATACTTTACTTACTAAGTAAATTACAAAACAATACCTTAAATGGTAACACAGTATAAATGAAAATAATAATTAAAAAGTAATTTAAATATGCAAGACTTCATTAATTAAACGGATGCTAATAAAATTTTGTAATTTAATAAATCTATTTTTTGATAACTTTATTAATTAAATTGATGTTAAAAAAACTTTCAAAGCAAAAAATTCAAAATTAATTTAAAATATACCTTCTATTAAAAAAACCTTCTATTAAAAAAAACCCTTATTTTTTCCATTAGAAAGCTCTTATATTTTATTTGTTTTTTGTAATATACTAGTATTAATATTATACTATATGTATGTATGTATATATATATATATATATATATATATATATATATATATATATATATATATATATATATATATATATATATATATATATATATATAGTATAATATAACATATAACATAATATTTTATATGTTTGATCGAACATATTTTGCAGACAAGTAATAATGTTTTGTTTTGTTTTTAAAATATTTATCACAATATCATAAATATTTTAATAAAATATTTATCTATTTTTAATAAAATAGAGAGAGTTTTAAAAGGAAAACATTTCAAAGAGAATACATAGTTACACAACCAAACAGCTCCTATACCAAAGACTATGTACAAATTACTTAATTGCAATTATAAGCTTAATCTTTATTAACTTTTACTTTTTTTTGACGATCCCAAAATCCCAGGAAAATTCAGAGACTAATCCTGGGAAAATTCAGAGACTAATCCCGGGATTTCAGGATAAACCATTTGTACGAAATCCCGGAGTTTAGGGGTCTCGGGATTGCCATCCCTAAACAGGAATAGAGAGACACTCTGATATTGCTAGATATTGCAGTTTTTTTATCATCAAGCAAAGAAAAATGGAGGTTTGTCTAATAAATATTTACTCTATAAGGCAAAAAAAATTAGTGAAAGATCAAAGATGAAATAAAACTATAATGTACTTATTGTACCAATTAAAAATGATTTAGTGGTTGAACTTGTTAAATCTCTTTTATTTGTTGTTGATTTGTTTTTTAAATAATTCATTTTGTCCATGTATCTAGGATTGATTGAACATTGGTTAAACTTCTCATCTTTTATTTTTATTTTATTTTATTGACTGTATAAGCTGTAGTACAGTGAATTTATTAAACTCAAAATTAACTTTAAAAAAAAAAAAAAATCCAAAAAATATTAACTTCAACATTGTTTGAATTCAGGCCAGACAAATTATTGATACCACAGCGCTGGCTTTGTTACCAAGCTCCTGAAATAATTCGCTTATTAAATCCTTTTGATCCTGGTTGCGAAGTTGCTTATTACACAAAGGAAACTGATGTGTATGCATTTGGGTAAGTATGCAATATTGCAATATTGGATTTTATAACTTTTAATTGAGATTAAAACTTATTTAATAACTAAATAGTTATTATGATAAAATAATTAAATGCATCATAATTAAATAATTAAATACATTATTATAATTAACTACATCATTATATTTAAGTAACATAAAACTTAATTTAAAGAACATCGCATATTTTAGAGCATCACAGCATTAAAGCTGATATATATATATATATATATATATATATATATATATATATATATATATATATATATATATATATATATATATATATATATATATATATATATATATATATATATATATATATATATACATGCATGCCTGTACCTTGGGGGGTTGTCAGGTGCGATCGACCCCTCTTTTCACCAGATTCTCATTGTTTTATGCAAGTTTTATTGAAAAAGATTTTTAGTTAGTATTCTAAACTGCTTTTTTTTTTGTCAAAAACGACCCCCTAAAAAATATTTTTGGTACGGTTTTTGGTAATGTTTTTTTATTAAATATATATGAAGTATTTATGTATAGATGTTATAAGTTTTTTTTTATTATTCTCTTTTGAGTTTTGATTTCGACAAATATTTTGTCGATAAATGTCAATATTTATTGGCAAAAGTCTATAGTTTTCACCATTTGTAAATTAATGTAACATTATTGGGTTTCTGTGCCCAATTTTGAAACTTTATTTGCTATTTCAAATAAAATAAAAACGTCAAAACGAGCGCCTTATTTAAATTCTAAATAGAATCATTTAAATAAAAAAGGGAAAACTAACTTTTTATTTAAATTTTAATTATAATAAAAATGAAGGTTTTAATTAAATTATTAATAAAATAGAAACGACCAAACTAGTGCTTCCAATATCGATACTATTTTTCAATACCGCTTTTATGGTACTTAAAAATTTCAATACCAGTAATACCGATATTAAACTTTTTTTTTTAAATTTACAATAATATGAATAAAATCTTGTGTTAATAGTAAAAATTTAATGGTCTCAATAAGTTTATTTTTTTTATATCAAAATTACTGACTTTTTTCATTTTTCGTTTTTTCTCCTCTGTAAAAAAGCCCGCAAGAAACATAGGGCATTCAGAGTATCATCCTCAAGAGATGATCGTAATTTTGTGACAATTTTGCCACATGCTAAAAATCCGCATTTCAATTTAACACTTCGTGACGTTAGAATAATAGGGTTCTATCTCCCTTTTGAACTGTTAAGAGAATTTAACAAAATTTGTTATTCTCTTTTAAATTTTTAAAATTAAAAGTAAAAATTTGTTAAGTTTGTTAAATTAAAAAATCAAAATATCAAATTTGTAAAATTTATTGCTTAGAATACACATTAATTATTATTTATTAAGTAATATAAATTGGTATGATCAAAATAGCATATCGGTAGGTGAGAATAATAAGGTTCTATCTCCAAATTTTCATAGTAAAAAAATTTTATTTTCTATTTTAATTATAATAGAGTAAAACAGGGTAAAATGAAATAGTGGGTAGAACAAAATAGTTATGACAATGTTTATTCTTTCGCTTTTAATTAACTATTGAATAATTTTTTTGTAAATATTTTTTGATTATATTGTAGAGAATATATTTAAGAGTAAGATTGTATAAAATCTTATTTTTAATTTAAAAAATTTTGTTATAAGTTTATAAGTTTTTGAATGCGTAATAAGATTTTTTTTATTTGTTTGAAAAGGGAACTTAAAACTCTCGGAAATTAAATTCAGTATCATTGAACTTAAAATATTTACTGATACAACTTTTTAGGCTGATCAAGAATCTTTTTTCAAAATTAAATTTGCTATTTAGGAAAAAAAGTTATGAGTTAAAAACAGAAACTGAGTGTTGCGGGATTAAATAAAATACGAGAATAAATAAATAAATAAGAAGCAATAGCTTATTTCTTAAAAGCCGCTTTTTTTTTATTAGGTCTCAAATGACCAATAAATCTCCAACTATAAATTTTTTGTATAAATTTCAATGAATGAATTTTTCTAACTGAATTTAAATGACTTTTAATTACTGCTTTTATAAAATAGTTCTAATAAATGAATGAAATTCGCTAGTTGCTCGCTTGTTGCGGTCATCTTGTCTGCAAACAACCTTTAATATTGTAGTAACTCCGGCTATTCAAAAGGAAATTCAAAAAGAGGTTGCAAAACAACTTTAATCAGCCCAATCACTTGCAGCAGCTTTGCAACAAATGTTTTGTATCCAACATGTTGATACAAAAAAAGAAAAAATGTAGATATGCCAAGATTCGAAGAGGAGTTTCTCAACAAACCTGAAAAGTTGAAATATGCTGAGACCAAAAAAGCAGCAAGCTAAAAAACAACCGAAGCCTAGCTCTAAATGAGAACAGCAAATAAACCAAGCAACAAGTCCAACAAAAATATTAGCTGAAAACCAATTCAAGTGTGAAAAGTTCTGGGCGAAACTTCAGCAAGTCAAATTATGGAATGGTACCGGTTTGAAAATTCAAATTGCAAGGTTTGGCAATGTCAAACATGCATACCAAAGCGATACGTAAAAAGCGCTGTGTTTTATTGCTACAAAAAGTGCCGCACAAGCGAAAACTCAACTCAACCCCTCGGCACCTCTAAACGACTCAACACTATCACAAGAATAAAAAAGTTAATTTTATTTGATTGATTTTTTTAATTGTTATTATTGATTTTTTTTTAATTGTTATTAATTGCTTTTTTGTTTTTTTAATAAAGTGTTGTTTTAATTACACTTTTTTTTGCATATTCTATTCTCCCCGAATAAAATTTTTTTTAATCAAATTAAGTTTCATAAAAACTTTACAAAAAAATTGTTAAAATTTTACATATTTAAATACAGCTCAATACTCTCTACAACTTTAAAAAAAAAAAGGAAAAATCTTTTTTCCATCAAAAATTAATAATTAAAATCCTTAACTATTCCATTTGAACCCATTTTACTCTATTATTTTTGTGTTCAAAATTATTAAACTTTAATATAATAATCTTTTTATTACTTACATAACTTTAAGAATTGTTGGTTTTTGTTTTTTCATTGTCATTTTCAACCTTATTTAATAAAGTTTGAATTAACAAATAATATGTAGTCAAGTAATTTTAAAAATTAATAATGTAAGATTAATTATAAAATATAAATAACATAAAAAACATATATTTTATCAATATAAACAACAACAGCTGTAAAACATTCAAATAATTAAAAATCAAAAGTTAAATTCTCACAGCGTAAAAAAATGGAGATAGAACCCTATTATTCTAACGTCACGACTTGCTGGCTTCACAGTTTTCAATTATTCGTAAGAATTTTGCAAATATATGCCACGATTTCCTCCTTTTTCAAAAGCTGGCATTTCATTACATATAATTTTGGATAAATTATTCGAAACATATAATCTTCCGGTGTTGCTACATTTCTTATTTTGAATTGAACATTGATGGCCCTTGTGCAGATTTTGTAGTAGGCTGGAAACAGATGTGCATCGCTCATTAAATTATCGCACCAACATAGCTTTTAACTTTATAGCTAAATCGGTTTCTCCAAAATGAAATTTTTCAATTTTACGAAACGTTTGAGCATTGTGTGCAAGCTACTCCTGCAATTTTGGAGTCAAGTATTACCTAGTTTGTCTAATGCATATTTTTGAAGTGTTTGATCATTTCTTGTCAGAGAATGGCGTTTCACAACGGTGTGCACCTTTTTAATTAACGGCTGCAAATCATCAGTCAGTTCAATAGAGTCATTTTTTTCACTTGTTACACCAGAAAATCTTTATCATCATTGGTTTTGATTTTGTCATTGTCAGTATTTCTATCTTTGTTACTTTCATAATTATTGTTGTAATTGCAGATTACTTTTAAGTTGTTTTTTTTTTCAGAAATTGACATTTTTTTGTACAAAACACATCTTGAAGTTTTTACAAAATTAAAAGTATTGTCAAGTTTTAATTTTCTTTTAGTAATTTTCAATCAACATTGCGTTTGCATTAGCACACGCAGTGTTAATTGAAAATTATTAAAATTTCCGTTTCAACGCGCGCCTGGTTAAAAATAGTAAAAATTCCATTATAGAAATCAGCTGTAATGACTCTTAACTCTTATTACAAGATGAACGAGCGTTGTTTATCAGCACTGAAAGTTTTAGATGTTTCATTTACTTTCATGTTTCACGTAAATAGAGCAATCACATCTGCTTTATCAAAAACCCCTACATTTATATTTTTAATACCAATATTGAACCAAATTAATACCGGTATTTCGGTCAGGGCTGTGCAGAGGGCAAGTCACCCGAGCAAATTGCTCAGGGCCCTGGCTCTTTTTCTCTGGTTGACTTGAATAAATTTACCTGCAGAAATGCAATAAACCTTGGGGGGGGGGTCTATCCCTTTATCCTTACGCTTCAAAGCAAATCAGCTACAATTTTTCACAAATGCAGCACAAACGTGCAAGACAAAAGTGATGTATTATGAAGAATCCTTTTCTCGAGGTTGGCTTGTACTTAGCCCATCAAAGACAGCAATATTTTGCTTTCTAATTCAATTATTTTCACCTGGAAATCAAGTTTCACATTTCTACATTTTGTGAACCGCCAAATCCTCGACGAAGCAGCTACCTGGAGAAAAACTATAGAACAAGTCTTGGATGTGATTCTGTTTCTTGGTGAACGTGGATTGGCTTTTTGTGGAAAATCAAACCTAATTGGAGATTTTCAAATGGAAATTTCTTTAGGATTGCTGAAACTAATTTTAAAACATTGATGTTTAAAATTAGTTTCAGCAATTCTAAAGGTGAAAAACTTTAAAACATTGATCATTCACCTTAAATCTGTTTTAGAGGAATGGCCAACAGTTTTGAAAAAAGCTAAATTAGCTGCAGATGCTGCAGAAATCAGTTCTAAATTTCCCATCCACCAAAAAGTGAATTGCAAAGGTTTTGCTTGGGAGTAAATTGAAGGTGATGAACATATCAC